ACACTGAAAGCAGCGCAATTTCAAAGCAGTTGCAACGCGGGCGGTTGTCAAAAATTTAAATATTCGAAAACCGCTTTCAACGCGCTGCTACCGCCCTGCGTCCGGTGTGTCATGCTAATATGGCCGCCATAGTAATGCAACAGCGCGGGCCCGCGTTCGCGCCGCTTCTGTCCCGCTCCCGCGCCGCCTCGTTTGTCGGTCGGCCAGTGCACTGCGGCGCGGTTGGAGCGCGGGCCCGCGTTCTAATTTGGTGTGACACACTTCAAAGAGTTTCTTGTATTACAACTTGCGCGGGTCCGCATTAAACTGCGCTGCTATTGCCCCGCGTTTGGTCTGTGGAAGCCTTTAGTCTGCAGCAGCACGGTCTTTTATAATTTACCATTCAAAGGCAAAATTCCTGGGGAGAGGGTATGTATCTTTTGTGATCACCATCATCATCATCGTCATTTAGACTTGGCTGCAGAGGCACGATCCTCTCTAACGTACCAGAGGCAAATGGAGGATTTGGCTTACACATGCCACGGCCACAAACTCCTGAGGAGAGGGTATACCTCCACTGCAGGACGAACCTCTCTAACGTACTAGAGGCAAATGGAGTATTTGGCCTACATTCCCTATGCTAGCAATATACCTGGGAAGAGGGTATGTGTCTTCTATCATCATCAGGTCATTTAGCCTCCACTGCAGGACGAACCTCTCTAACGTACCAGAGGCAAATGGAGAATTTGACCTACACTCCCCACGCTGGCCAGACGGGTTAGGAAGGCCTGATATTCGCGTATTTGTCCCTTATTCCAGTTTTACGACATCCACACAAGAATGGAGGTGGTCATTTTCTATTTTCAACCGACTTCAAAAAAAAGGAGGAGGTTCTCAATTCGACCCGTATGTTTTTTTTTTCTATGTTTGTTACGCGATAACTCCGCCAATTATGAACCGATTTGAACAAATCTTTTTTCGGCGTATAGGTAATACCTCAAGGGTGGTCCCATTTAAATTTAATAATAGAAAAAACAACCCACAAGGGTGGAAAATTGGGGATGAACTTTTTTATACGCAATATCTCCGCCGATTATAAATCAATTTGAACGATTATTTTTTTGTTGAATAGGTATTATCAAAAGGGTGGTTTCATGCGAATTTGAAGAAAATATTTCACCCCCAAGGGTGGAAAATTGGGGATGAACTTTTTTATACGCAATTTTTAGTTTTTTTTGTGTTCACGCATTTGAAGTCGGTTTTATTTTTTTTAAAAGTTAATTATATGCCGGAAGAATCGCTGAACAACGGACTTTCTACAAAGTTTGTTAAAATAAACAGTTAATTGTTACTTCTGCAAAAACCACGAATGTTTGGCATGACACGATGGATGATTGACGAAATTGTCACTTTGTTCGCATAAGCAGGTATTAAGATCCCCTCCTCTTAGTGAAACTGCATACTTCTTTCGTATACTTCAAACTATTAATTCTTTGTTTCCAGATCAACACAGCGCCCCCAATGCTGGAACTATCCAACGTGTACGGCATAGAGGAAGTGCACGCCCTTCGCTACAGGGAGGGCAAGGGAGGGCGCCTCAGTTCAGAGAGGATCAGAGGCAAGGAGTGGCCCACAAATGGGTCCTCAGTCTGCGTTAACAACGAATCGCCGAACGAGAACAGATGTCATAGCACAGGTAATACAATAGATGTCATAGCACAGGTAATACGAGACTATTCTCGTCACCTATGTGTCATTGCACAAGTAATACAAGACATGTCATTGCACAGCTAATACGAGAATAGGTGTCATAGCACAGGTAATGCGCACTTTTTGGAATGATATAGTCATACAAAGTCCAAATAGTTTGAGAGGATCAGAGGCAAGGAGTGGCCTACCAACGGGTCCTCCCTCAGTCTGTGTTAACAACGAATCGCCGAGCGAGAATAGATGTCATAGCACAGGTAATAAGCAAATAGGTGTCATAGCAAAGCTACAGGTAATGCGCACTTTCTGGAATGATCTAGTGATGCAAAAGTACAGTGTTCGAGAGGATCAGAGGGAAGAAGTGGCCCACTAACGGGTCTTCTTCACTCTTCAGTGTGCCTAACAAGAACAAGTGTCATAGCACAGGTAATACAAGAGGAGATGTCATTGCAAAGGTAATGCGTTTTTTATTAGAGGCTATGCAATTTTTTCCACAAGAGAGCTGTTATAAGTTTGACGAGTCTGCTTGTGGCATCGTGGCTCCTAAGCGACTTTTTATTTATTTTATTTAACACATGAGAAATTATGATTTACAAAAAAAGATTTTTACAAAAATATTTTGCTTATCTAGATTGATTATTTTGCTTATCTAGTAATTCAGAAGTATGTGTTATTAGAAAAGCAAGGTGTCGTCGTACAGTTCAAACATCTTCAGTTCAACAAAACCGATTTTGACGCATTTTTTTATAATTCCAGAGGCCGGCGCCAACGCCCTCCTAGGTATCAACCTGATCTTCCTCTGGCTGTTCCGCAACCACAACTACTTGGCCGACAAGCTACACGAGCTCAACCCTTGCTGGGGCGACGACAAGCTTTACCAGGTCGCCAGGGACATTAACATTGCTATGTACCAGCACATAGTGTATCACGAGCTGATGCCCGCTGTGATCGGTGAGTGGTGGTTGTTACGCCATTTACAGGGCCGTCTTTGACCTACTAGGGGCCCTGGGCCCTTATCATCGGGAAATAGGTCTTTTGAACAGACGGGGGCCCTGGACACTTGACCAAAGTGCCAAGTGGGAAAGAGGTGCCTGGCTATTTATGTTCCTTTCTTGATGCCCTGGTCTTAATTAATTGGCGGTCAAGCTCTTCTCTGCGTATTAAAGAACTAGTTACTAGTTTTAAAATAACAACACGCCAACCAATGACTTGCATGGTTCTAGTTTCATACATTTTTGCAGTCACGTTGCAATCTGCGGTCTGCGGTCAGGTCAAATTGAATGCAGCCAGTACAAGGTATGATTACTTTGACCTGACCGACCGCAGACCGCGTCCAATGACAATTCCTAAAACCATAGAGACGAATATGATCATATGACTAATTCTAAAACTTTGTTCATAATCCAGGTCAGAAGTACTTAGAGAAGAACAAAGTGATATTCCCGGGGCACGTGCATGTGGACGACTACGATGAGGACTTGGAGCCACGACTAGCCCAAGAGTACGTGCTGGCGACGAGATGGTTCCACGTCTTGCAGGAGGGACGGATCAAGTGAGTACTTTTGGTTGATCATCAGGTTATTTAGGGCCTTGCCACATTGGCAGATTACAAGCGTTTTCAAAGCAGAGCGGCGATGCAGCGAACACGCCGAGTGTCCGTGGCGAAGACGTCGCGGTTTCACGGCGAACACGAGGCGAAAACTTTGCACATCCGCGACGCTTAGAAAACGCTTGCAATCTGCCAGTGTGGCAGCTCACTTGGTCTCTACTACAGAAGGACGAAGCTGTAGATCCTGGCTACACAGGAGTTGCAGCGGTAGGAATAGGTTGGGAATAACCCCGTATAAGAGGATAGGCTCTAATTTACCAGAGGCAAATTGAGGATTGGGCCTGCGCTTCACTAGAGCTGGTATTCGGATATTTATTGTCCTTTAGCCGCCTCTTACGACATCCATGGGAAGAATGTAGGTGGCGGGAAGAGTGGAGGTGGTCATAATACTACTGTTGTTGTTCCGACAATTAGTGTAATCATTACCATTCCACACCATTAGTTTACTATTATGATGTGCCTCTTTCTCAGCATCATCGTTTCAGTCAAAAGACGTCCACTGCTGAACAAAGTCTCCCCCAAGGATTTCCACAACAACGGACACTCCTCAACCTTCCCCAGATGGTCGATCCATCTAGTGGGAGGCCTGTCCACACTTGGTACTCTGGCCCGCCTTTCTTAGCATATTTAACGTCAAGCAAACCGTGATGATGATCAAAATCAAAATCAAAATTTTCTTTATTTGTTTAGACTAATTAAATTAGTTCTTGCAAATCGTCAAATGCTCTTAAGGAGCCTATACATGTCTCATTCTTTTTTTGCCCTACCAGCGCTTTTATTAACTTTGAATATAAATAATAAAATACGGGTTCATCCAGTGTCTAAGTAGCTCAGTTGGAAGAGCAGTCGCCCGGCAAGCGAAAGATCGTGGGTTCAATTCCTCCCTTATGCAGTTCGATTTTTTCAAGTTGCTTATTTAAAAAAAGTCAATATACTCTGAGGAAGAAGAACATTCTTTCTCAGTCTATGTCTCTTTCCCAGCCTCTACGACAAGCACGGCAAGATGTTCAACCAGCTGTCAGTGGTAGACCTGTCTCTACGAACTGGGGCGCTGACAGTCAACAATACTATAGAGGGCGCCACGCAAGGCGCCTTCAGGCAGGCCTGCGCTAGTACTGACTACGTCATAGACCCAGAGGTATGTTTTCTTCTAACATTTTGTTAAAGTCCGGTCGCCGAGCAGATAGAATTTTGTCCAGTGACCCCAAGCTACCAATCCTTATCGCTCGCGCGTAATTATTTTGCTGTCGCGACTGTGCGACGGGCGGCCGCAGTGAGTGTGCGAACTTTTAGGTCCTCGGCGACCGGACTTTAGAAAAATAGTATCAACGAAGATTTAAGGATTTGCCATGTACACGGCCACACTGTTAACTATCCATTTCCGTTTTTGCTCTCGCTCTAATCAAATGGTGATTCTTTGCGATAGAACGAGATGACATGACTGGCAATGGGCATTAACACTGTTGCCGATAGTACCTATGAACAACATTATCGTGCGGTATAGGTGGCCGAATGGTCGGATTGGCCAACTTGACATCCGAAGAACGCTGGTTCGAACCCCGCCGCCGCTCGACTATAATATTGTGGTGAAGCCACTCGTCGTAACTCGTAACATAAGCACATTTTGCTTACTACGAGGGGTTGATGGGATTTGTTTGTCTGTTTGTTTGTTTCTTACAAAATCTGTTCCCAGATGGGAGAGCGTTCCCTAGGCCGCCTCCAATTCGTATCAGATGTGATGGCGGCCGACATCATGAAGACGCGCGACGTGGGATTGCCTCCATACAACCGCTACCGAGAGCTGTGCAAGCTGCCTGTGGCCAAGCACTTCCACGACCTCCACCAGTGGATGCCCAAGGAGGTAAGGCGGCTGCAACTAAATGCTAGTTGGTTTTGCTATCTACCTGCCGCTGCCACCCACTTACATCAAAGAATCTCAAATGATATAGCACTCAAAAAAGAGTGCTTATGCTATCGCAAGCTGTGCCAGACACTCCCACCTCTACCAGTGGATGCCCAAGGAGGTAAGGCTACAACTATCTGCTGCTGCAGGAATCTTTACCTTGAGCAAGATGGCCGCTATAAACTGCCCTTGACCACGCACTTTCATGACCTCTACCAATAGATGCCTAAGAAGGTAAGCTAACAACTCCACTGGCATATTTTCAGTGGAAAGCTCCGCCTTAGTGGATTCGTACCAAGTGGGGGAGGGGTCATCTATGATCTCTACCAGTGGATTCCCAAGGAGGCATGTACTCAGATTATACACTTGCTGGTTTCCAGTAAGAAGAAACTGCCTTGGATAGACGTAAAGCCTCTTGGCGTGCATATGACGTCATGGAAAGTGATGATCAGGCGAGAGGTAGAAACGATCCTTGCCCGGAATGCCTAACCTGGAAGCTGGTTACTTTTCAGTAACAGTAATCTTGATAAATTCAGAAACTTTCGATACAATTACATTTTTTTTCGAATGAACTGGATTCCCCTTATTCTTCCCAGCAAGTGGAGGCCATAACGGCGGCCTACGAGCACATAGACGACGTGGACCTGATGGCCGGGCTGCTGGGTGAGAGGGCCATGCCAGGAGCCGTCATGGGCCCGACGCTAGCCTGTATCATGACGGAACAGCTGCTGAGATGGCGCAGGTCCGACCGGTTCTGGTACGAGAATACCGTACACCCTGGCGCTTTTACTGGAGGTAAGGGTGTTTAGTTATTACAAAAAAAAAGAGTTCATTAATTTAGGATCACAATGGTAGACAAAACCAGTCGCAAGTGTCGCAACAGAAGGATCACTCCGCAAACGGACTTAAAGAAATAGCGAGTTCCATATCTACGCAATAAAGGCCAAATCAGTTAGCTTAGTGCCAGGATCCTAACTATATTCACAGGTGCCGTCTTCTCATCGTGTAGGTGTCTCTTTTTTGACACGGTAGTGTTGCCAACTTTAACATCGCACCTCCGAGCGACCATCTGCTGCAGAGTAGGGAATGCAAGGGCAAACAAATCTTCCTAGACTGAATCTTACTTAACACCAGGTGCGATTGCGGTCAAATACCTTTTTTTTTACGGGAAAAAATGCGTTGAATCGCATACCTACCCTGCGGGGACAGGGTAGGTTATGTGGGGCTCACCAAGTCAGAAGGATGAGGCATACCCACTAAAAAGACCCCGGTGCTCCGTCAATCGCCTTAAGTGGGAGGGAACTGTGGGTTTCCGGACAAAGCCTTCACTACCACAGCCCCTCCAGGCGATTGCCCGCCTACACGGCGGGCCCTACAAGCCCCCCAGGACGGGGGGCGACAGGAGCAGCTGGAAGCACACAGCTGTTCCCGTCCGAGCGGTCAAATACCTGCCTTGTGATGCATAAAAAATACAAGCTTCTTAAGAGCAAGATAATTATAGCGATTTGCAAGTTATTCAGTCAAAACAAAGTAGATTTTGTACATTATGCATGCGGATGTTATTATAACCGTTATTTTTGTTGTCAGAACAACTGCGCGAGATCAAGCGCATCTCCATGTCGAAAATCATGTGCGCGCACGCAGACTCCGTAGAAGCCATCCAGCCGAACGTGTTCTACCTGCCTGGACGCGGGTAAGTCTACTTTTCAATATTCAATACTTCATTGCAATTTACATGTAGAAACGTTACAAGATAGATAAGAACTTTATTTGGACATTGTTCCCAACAAGATCCCAAGGTTAGGCGATTACAGCGTTGCCAGTTTTTTTTTTCGCCAAGTCGGGACTTTGGTACTTTTTGAGTGAAAATAGCGGGACTCTTCCGTCAGAAGCGGGACATAGAAAAAAAACGTATATAATCAAAGGTTTTCAAATATTTATCTTTTTATTTGACTTAAAATTACATTTACGTGACAATATAATAGCAAAAGTAGCCATAGAAAATGTATTTTAACAAAAAAATAATATTTTAAATCAGATTTACTCTATCGTTAAATTCGTCTTTACAATAAAAAAAGAATAAAATTAAAAATGTTTTATTCTTTAGAATAATATGGCGTTTCAAACAATAGTTTGGTGAAGTAAGTGTCTCTCTCCGAAAAGCGGGACCGAGCCTGTCCCGCGCGGGACATTTAAATTTGATTTAAAAATCGGGACGTCTGGCAACGCTGGGCGATTATCACACTGCACCGCGCTCCGCCGCGGTCCGCGTGGCCACATTATAAGGAATCCCGCGCGCAAACGCGTTGTCAGTGTGTTGTGCCGCGCGTTTTCTATACAAACTGAGGTACTTGCATACAATGATTAAATCTGTCGTCCCGCGTACCGCGGCGGGCGCGGTGCAGTGTGATAATCGCCTTAAGGACACAAATTGGGGGTCAGGAGAGTTTTCGGCGACATCTATCGGCGTGCCACTACAGACAAGTGGTAGTCATCAACCAACAGATGGCGCTGACGGTTGAGTTACTATGGCATACACCATCGCGCCTGTAATCCTGCATCGCGGTATTAGTTTTCTACCCTGAAAAACGAAATGGTCGATAATTGGAACTTGGTCCCCGAACACAACACCCGCTCGGAAGGAAGCAATTCCAGGCAGAAAATACCTTCTCTCTCTAATATACCAGAGGCAATAACCACTAAGCCACAACCACCTTTAAGAACATGATAACAAAATCTAAATTTCTTTCCTAATTCTTCTTCCAGAAACGAGATAACAGACTGTTCCCACTACGAGCCCTTCAACTTTGCTCCGTGGAAGGACCACGAGTGCGAGCGGGACGGAGAATACCCTTTCAAGATACCCCACCAAACGTGGTGGTCGCCTTACTTGCCTTAAGGCACGAACAAGCTTTAAAGCTTGGCCGTTATGTTAAGTCAGATTAGTAGGAGGTTTTAGATTTTAGGAGCTGTAGAGAAAAAAAATATTTAGTCTTGCCAAAGATTGATAAAAGACCATATTTCTGTCTGTAAGTCTCAGTTGAAATTGCCACAGGAAATGTATTTATAAATAATTAAATGGGAATTGATTCATTGGGAAGGAAACTATTTTTTGTTTTTATACATTAATAGTCAAAACTATTAAAATTATAATAGTAACATAAACTCAAACTAAAAGTATCATTCGTTTATGCACGATGCTACGGAACCCTTCGTTGCCTTCGTGAAGAATTTCCGACAGATATTTTTAAGATATATGGCAGTAAGCACTACACAGTGAGCCCAAAAATGGCAGTAAGCACTAAGCAGAACAGAGTGACAATGCCAAATTAAAGTATGTTACTGGTTTCATCCCAACTAATCCCAACTAATATTATAAATGCGAAAGTAACTCTGTCTGTCTGTCTGTCTGTCTGTTACGCTTTCCCGCTTAAACCTCGCAACCGATTTTGATGAAATTTGGCATAGAGATAGTTTGAGTCCCGGGAAAGAACATAGGATAGTTTTTATCCCGGTTTTTGAAACAGGGACGCGCGCGATAAAGTTTTTCTGTGACAGACAAAATTCCACGCGGGCGAAGCCGCGGGCGGAAAGCTAGTATTAGATAAAACACCCATTTTGCAAATCACGTTTTTTTTGTAAACAGTAGATTCAAACTAGGTTAACAAGCACTTATTTTTTTTCAGTTTTCTCACAATTAGTACATTCACTTTTTTATGTATTGAATTTTTTATCCGACCATTCTCTATGTATATTGTGAGAAGTGTTTTTAAATAGCTATTAAAAATATTACGTAACAAGATATACTAAAATTGTGCGGCATTTACCGGTAAATGTCAACTTCTTCTTCATTTTGCTCTTTTAGTAGATTTTTTATACTTTATTTAGAAAATTAAAGAGATCTACATGCACAAAGTTTATATTAATTTCATGTTTTCGTTCCTTTTTAACCGACTTAAAAAAGGAGGAGGTTATTAATTCGTTTGTTTTATTTTTATTTAAACTGACACTTTAATTAATTTATGTAACTTTCTGTTATACGTAAATTGAATAATATTATAATGAAATGTCAATAATTTGTAAAAGAGATCAAATGTTATTAGCAGAAATATCAAATGTTAATAAGTTTTTATTATTAAAATTAATAAATGTCATGAAATTCTATGGTTTTCATTCCAAAAATGTGTTATGAAAAAAACAAGATTCTATACTAATATTATAAAACTGAAGAGTTTGTTTGTTTGCTTGAACGCGCTAATCTCAGGTACTACTGGCCTAATTTGGGGTTAACTGGACAAAAAACTTGCAAAAAATATTACAAGTCTAGGCGCAGACCATCGATTTTTCGTCGGCCGATAGTTTAGTCGGGCAGTTGATCAGTATGGGCATATATGGAAGTGCGCACATTACGCGATTCGATTTGGCCGTTTCTTCATACAATTTAAAATCGGGCACAACTATCGGCCAACTAAAAATCGGTGGTCTACGCTAAGGCTAAAACGTTTTAACCATACAGGATATTAGGATAGTGCACTATTACCAAACAAACAAACAAACACATAGTCTAGATGAGTCTACGTCAAGATTGACCTTTACATAATACGTGTGCATGTCAGAGGGTCAAGGTGGAGATGTTAACTTAGAATAATATTAGACCTGTTTGACCGTCACAAACAAAACAATAACTTAATGGAAAGAACGCTCACTCGTACGTCGATTAGCTAAATGAAGTCCACCCACAAGGTGGACCGACGACCTGATAAAGGTAGCAGGAAGGCGCTGGACGCAGGCCGCTACCAACCGTGCGATGTGGAAGTCATTGGGGGAGGCCTATGTTCAGCAGTGGACGTCCTGTGGCTGAAATGATGATGGTGATGAAATGACGTCCACTGCTGGACAAAGGCCTCCCCCGAGGATTTCAGGTACATCCTGAGATCTTCACCAGATCGTCGGTCTACGTAGGAAGCCTGCCCACACTCCGTCTTCCGGCTATCATAAGAAAAAAAACAATAGCTTAAAGGGAAGATGGATTAAAGCAGTTTGGAATGTGTATTGTGCGGAGATCGAACCCATGACCTCTGGCAGGTTCAGTACGCGAACCACTAGGCCAGACGGTCGTGAAAATAACGCCCGTATTCACAAACGATGCTTGCTTAAGTGAAGCGGCAAATCGAACGCACAGCGTTGAATAGAGATCTGTGATTGGTTCGTGTGTCACCCTGTGCGTCCACGCGCACTGTGGGACCTCATAGTACATAGTGTTTTTGAATACGGGCGTAATATTCTTTAAAAATAAAGTGAAAGGCCCAGAACACACGGTGAAAGGCAGTTTCAAACTGGTCACGTCATGTGTGGTCTCTCAACGGACGCTATGGCAGAAACTTAGATGCAACTCAAAAGTAACTACTTAGACTTGCATTTTCGTTGCAGTTGCATTTCACCGTGTGTTCTGGGCCTTACTCTCGCATTTGTAATAATAATACAGATGATGAGTGGAGCCTTCAACCTATAGACTGACAGACTGGTGTCATAGATCAAGGCGCTCAGTGCATTGTTGTTGGTATAGTAGACGGTCAGTTACACAACTAAATGTACAAATTGAATTGTTATTTTAATACCAAAATATGAAAACCAAAATTATTTATTTTATTTTTATTTTATTTATTTATCTTTATTTGTATAGACTAATTAAATTTGTACTTACAAATCGTCAAATGCTCTTAAGGAGCCTATACATGTCTCATTCTTTTTTTGCCCTACCCCAGCGCTTCGAGACAAACATTTGGCAAGTGCTGAGAAGAAGCGCCGCAACAAACTAAGTCACCACTGTCTGCCGGTCTGTCACTAACCAACTCTATATGTATATTTTTTTAATTTCATCATCATCATTTCAGCCTCAGGACGACCACTGCTGAACATAGGCCTGCCCCAATGGTTTCCATAATGACTGGTTGGTAGCGGCCTGCATCCAGCGTATTCCTGCTACGTTAACCGCCTCTGTGGTCTAGTGGTAAGACCACCTGCTTCAGACGCAGAGGTCCCGGGTTCGATTCCCAGTGGGGGCAGATTTTTCTGTTCGGTTTGGTTGGTATTAGGGCTTGTTCTAAGTCCGCCTGGCTAGCTACCACCATCTTACCTAAGTCTGTCGCCATAACAACAATGTTAAACCAAGAGCTTCCTCGTTGTGGATAAAAAAAACCTTTACAAATGTCTTCGGTCCACCTTGTAAGCTTCTAAAATCATCATCATCATCATCATTTCAGCCATAGGACGTCCACTGCTGAACATAGGCCTCCCCCAATGCTTGCCATGTTGATCGATTGGTAGCGGCCTGCGTCCAGCGCTTCCCTGCTACCTTTACGATGTCGTCGGCCCACCTTGTAGGTGGACGTCCCACGCTGCGCTTCTAAAATACATATTGCTAAACTTTTATCATTTGCGCCCGTACCCGAGTGCGGAAAAGATCGCAACGTTTATCTTAAAGTCCATCAATATTATCTCGGATCAGTTCCATTGTTTAATATTACACAATCTCTGTCTATCACTCAGGCTCTTGTGAACCCAATAAAATGGTTATGTAAGTTAAAAACTATTTGTCTGTCATTTAATGCACGGAGTAAAAGTCGTACTTAGTGCTATGTGACATTATATGGCAAGAGGTCAATCGACCTCTTGGCATATAATGTCACATCTATACTAATACATATTATAAATGTGAAAGTAACTCTGTCTGTCTGTCTCTCTTTCACGCCTAAACCACTGAACCGATTTTGATGAAATTTGGCAGAGAGATAATTTGAGTCCCGGGAAAGGACATAGGATAGTTTTTATCCCGGTTTTTGAATCAGGGACGCGCGCGACAAAGTTTTTCTGTGACAGACAAAATTCCACGCGGGCGAAGCCGCGGGCGGAAAGCTAGTAGTATATAAATTTGACGTTAATTTGTATCTGATATTTACAGTTATAGGTCAAGTTTAACTGAGTCAATGCCCGAGGCATGGGAGAGGCACGGGAGGGTGTTTTTGAGGACTTATTCCACTATTCCCCGTTGACAATCCCCGTCAACGGAGATTAGTGAACTTTTTGTTCACTATTCCCCGTTAACGCCAATTGGAACTTATAACGGGGAATAATGAACTAAAAAGTTCATTAATCCCCATTAAGTTAAAAATAAAATCCTAATAAAACGGGTATTAATGAACTTTTTAGTTCATTATTCCCCATTATAAGCTCCAATTGACGGGGAATAGTGAAATAAGCCTTTTTGAGTCAAACTTCTGCGAAACAACTTCAAATTATGTCATAATTATATCAATGTCACCCCTCCCGTGCGGCTTCCATACCTCAAGCACTGCCTCAGTTAGGTATTAGACATAGATTTTCTAAAAAAAGTCACCATATCTTTGAACGGTCACCCATCCACATCCAACCAAGGCTTGCAAGGCAAGGACAAACTTAACCTTCACTGGTTGGGTTATTGGCGGTCAAGCTGTAGATCCTGGCTACACAGGAGTTGCAGCGGTGGGAACGAGAGGTGGGAATAGTCCCGTTTAACCCCAAGTAAAAATAATTCTACCACTGGGATCTCACTGGGCCCGTTACTAAGTCCTATACAAACTTGACCTTCACTGGTTGGGTTATTGGCGGTCAAGCTGTAGATCCTGGCTACACAGGAGTTGCAGCGGTGGGAACGAGAGGTGGGAATAATTTTTATCCAACCAAGGCTTGGGTTGCTTAACATTAAACAGATGCCGCCAAGGATCGGCCGCAAAAAATCAATATAATCGATGCGCATCGATCGTATCGAATATAATCGATATCCATAAACATGCGATCTTTCATAATCGACCCCATAATTTCGCTTTCTCCCTTTTTCGGAGGCGAGGAGTCATCGGTGTTGAAAGGACGACACAAGAAATAAAGTGTCAACTCGTGATTTTAATTTTTCAAGATATCGGCCTAAATATTTCATCTACATTTAAATGCCGCTTGGCTATTGTGGTGAACACACACGTAACACAAGCACATTTAGCCCATTTAATTAACTGGACTGATGTATGAATGTAATTTGAATTTACTTATTACTAATATTCTTTAACAAAAAAAGACGTCGTAAAATTACCTTGCCTCTAGAGAACCTAGGTTCTCTAATGAGCTTTTATTATGTTACAAAAAATGTGTGAATTTGAAACTGTATAGCTCATAGGCTAGGTTTCATTAGTTTTTAAAAGTAATTAAAACTAGGCTTGAGTTTTTTGCGCTACTGTTTAGCTATTCCACCTTATTGTCGTAAATAATTATGTAGATAATAAACATAATAATTACCGACCTCATGTAACATAGACACAATTCTGGGACCTAACCTCATAGACGTAGATTAAACATAACCGCAAGCTGTAATTGTCAACGTTTAGTTACGTTTAGCGTAAGAATCAATCCACATAAAATCTTATTGGAACTTCTTTAACATTGTTTAAGTCAATAAATGAATATGAATCTCAAAACTACAGAAAAAATTAAACTTCAAGATCCAAATTCCGGCTTTTTTGAGTTGTCACACTATTGCTTGTTGTTTCGGAAGCTGTTGACAAACGATCGTACGCATGATGAGTAACGAGTGTAAAAGTAGGATAACAAGAGAGTATATTGGTCAAGGGTCCGTGTGAAATGTTTTTACGTAAGATATTGCAAATATTTGGAGAGGAAAGAAGGAATTTCTAGAATTATCCTTGCTGCATCATTATCGGTACAGCCTACGGTAGCCCATAGTCTTCATTATCATTGCCTTCGGTCAAAACGCGGTTAAATGACATAACGGAGATGATGTTAAATTACTAGAATGGAGTGTCGTTTTTACCCGACTGCGGCAGAAGGAGGGTTACGTTTTTCGAGTGTATGTACTATGTATGTTATGTGGGTATGCATGTATATTTCTTTGGAACGGCCTACAGCCTAAACGGCTTCTTGACGGATTTTAGCGTGAGAGATGTTGTTAAATTCGTCGGATTTTAGGCGCCATAAAGTCTTAATAATTTTTTTTCCCAAAACCTATCGAGTGGGGTATCAAAATAAAGGGTTTTTTAAGTAATTTACAAAAATGTACGTTATTTAACAAAAAATATTAAAATAAAATTATTAAAAATAAAATAATTAGTCATTGATGCCTCAGACTGCATTTGTGAACACTAAGTTGTCTTGTTTTTATCTTTTAGTTCATTTTTACGCAGTTGGGATTTTTATTTATTCAATATTAATTTAAAAAGTTTTAGTTTCGAATTATTGAGTTTGGTGCCAAATAGTCTATTGGAATAAAACTGAAGTTGTTTTGTCGACTTTTTGGCCACTTTGGGTGTCACGAGCTATGTGACTGACTGTACTTATTGAATTGATGTCTACGGAAGAAGACCTACAAACAAAGTAATAAATACAGCTACGCAGTTATGGTCAACTTGTTATTTTAAACTTAACCTTACAATTTGACTTAAGTTATTTACAAAAAACATTGGCCAAGTGAGAGTTAGGCCTGTATATGAAGGGTTCCGTATAATCGTAAAGATTTAACAGTTTATTCTATTTTATTAATTAAATTGTACTTTTGTTAATCGAACAGATACATTAAAGCGCTAAACAATGTTTCGGCTTATTCCCAACTGGACAAGACAGATAAATACCTACCAAAAATTTCCAACAGGGCATATTTCCATATAATGCTTAGAGAAATACAGAACATACAGTCAGATGGATAATTATTATAATTTCATGTGTAGAGAATAAAAAGAAATTACAAGTTGTAACTATATTTTTCTGACAGTACTTTTTACCTTTTCGTGCCCAGGTGGGAATTTTGGGTAGGTATTTTCCATGAAACATCGGATGCATATTTTTATAGTTCAAATTAAATTCAAATTCAAATTCTCAGTAGGCCCTTTTGCCCTCAGTAGGGCTACCACCACTTCATCACAATGTATCGACTGATGCTAAAAATTGGCGGAAGAAATAACATGGGGTTCCGTAGCACTCTTCTGATACCTACTGAACCCTAAAACCCTTCATTATTAGTATTTTATTAACCCAAAGGTCAGTCAAAGACTCAATTGGAATTCTAATGGTACACCAGGTAGACGGTCGGTAACCTTGACATTTGTGTAACCTGCACGTGAAGCTTTACATTTGTGTGGCAAAATTGACCTTATTGGAGGTACATAAGGTATGTGGTAAGGTAGAGGACAGTTGACCGGTCATGGTGTGGGAAAAAGATGATGACATTATTATGTCATGATTTGGTTGTCCTATATCATGTGCCACTGTCATGTCTATGTAATCTATACTAATATTATGAAGAGGTAAGGTTTGTGTGTTTGTATATTTGTTAAATTGTAAGGGGTAATCTCGGGATCTACTGAACCGATTTTAAAAATTCTTTCACCAATAGAGAGCCACATTATTGCTGAGTGTCATAGGTCAATGGTCATATAAAATACCGAAAAATTCCACGCGGGCGAAGCCGCGGGCGGAAAGCTAGTTGCCTGTATTTGTGTGATGTCCATTGTAATAAACGTATCTTTCTTTCTTTCTACAGGGTGTTAGGTAAATGGGTATATGAGCCGACACTAGCCCATGTTAACATGGGCATATAAATGGTATGGTGAAGTCAGAAAATTGATATCATTTTATTTTTTTATTTTTTCATACAAAATAAATTTTATAAAATCCGATTTGTATGAAAATTAAAATAATTAAAATGAAGATATCAGTTTTCTGACTTCACCATACCATTTATATGACCATGTTAACATGGGGCAGTGTCGGCTCATATACCCATTTACCTAACACCCTGTATACGTACTTACTGATTTATAAATGCGAAAGTCAGACAGACATTTTGGTTGTCTTTACAAGCTACAACCACTGAACTGATTTAGATAAAATTTAAAATTAGCATAGAGATAGTTACAGTCCCAAAAGGTGGACGGACGACCTCTTGAAGCAGGTAGGCACTGGATGCAGGCCCCTACCAACTGGGCGATGTGGAAGTCATTGGGGGAGGCCTATGTTCAGCAGTGGATGTCCTGTGGCTGAAATGATGATGATGATAGATATAGTTTTTATCCCAGTTCTTGGACCAAGAAAACTGTTTTTCATCATCATCATCATCATAATTTCAGCCATAGGACGTCCACTGCTGAACATAGGCCTCCCCCAATGCTTTCCATGATGATCGATTGGTAGCGGTCTGCGTCCAGCGCTTCCCTGCTACCTTTAGGATGTCGTCGGTCGACCTTGTAGGTGGATCTCACGCTGCGTTTTCCGGTATTCGACCGTCGTTCATCCAGAAAACTGTTTTTACAGGTGTTGTTTTAAAGACATTGACAAGTAATTATGTAGAGAGGATTTTTCGGGCATTTTCTATTTTCCTCCGAGGCGTCCCCTGAATGAAATGAATTTGGAACAAACATGAAACTACGTAGGAAAATAACTAAAACACAACTCGATTTTTTTTACGATTTTTCTAATCAAATACGACTGGTCTACTATGGTGATGGCTACGGGACTATTCCCACCTCTCTTTCCCACCACTGCAACTCCTGTGTAGCCAGGATCTACAGCTTGACCGCCAATAACCCAACCAGTGAAGGTCAAGTTTGTCCCGGGGGAAAGTTAAACTGTTATTGGACTCGCAACGAAATCAATCAGAAGAACATAGGAGTACGAAGTTAAGGTTCGATCTCCCTCCGTTGCAAAGCGGATGGCAGTTGGTGACTGCACAACAAATAAAGATCACCGTGCACTCGCAAATCTGCCGCTGCGCATCTCGTCGACTCTATAAAAGCTCGCGCGTGCGCCGCCGAGCGCAGTGACCGACCGACCGTGACGCAAAAATGGTGAGTGACGTTCGACCGCTCGCGGAATTTGCTGTAGTGGTGCGGCACCCTTGTGATTGTGACATTCTTTTGTTTAGTCCTATAGGATAAGTACTAGCATTTGACCGCGTGTATTTCGGTATTTCAAAGGTCAAATACCGGAGTAAAATTTTCGTATATTTTTTCACGGGTTCAAACTGTCTATTACTACTACTACTTACCAAAGTTTATCTAAATCGGTTAAGTGACCATTCATATCCGTAACATTTAAGTAATTTTAGTTAGTTGGCCGCAAAAATGGTGAGTGACGTTCGACCGCTCGCAAACTTGTGTTGTGGCGCGGCACCCTTGTGATTGTCGCTTTCTTTTGTTTAGTCCTACCTATAGGAACTACCTTTGGTCCGCGGCTTCATCCGTGTGAAAATAGGATTGTTACAGAAAGTCGTGCTCGCGTGTCCTCCTTCCAAAAAACCGCTCGGTATAGTGGTGTGATACCTTTGTTTTTTTTTTGTTTCTGTTGTTTTTTTTCTGTATTGTGTCTTTTTTTATTGTGTCAATAAACCTATTCTATTCTATTCTTTGCGATTGTGGCTACTCGTCTTTGAGCCATAAAATTTTCGATAGTCTAGTTTAAAACTAGAAACGTTTTCTGTTAAGCCCAAAGGTTAACTGGCAGAAAATGCCCAAGGGCATTAAGTTTGCTTTATTACCAATTGAATGTGTCGGACGTTAAGTGATATTAACTAAACGTACCAATCCGTCCGTTGTCAATGTCCGTTATCAATAATGCAAGCTTTGCTTAGTTTGGGACTAGTCCAGACTAGGCGCAGTGTAAAATGTCCAAGGATATTTATTGTTATTTATTTAGTCGTATACATTGTCTAAAACACAATATTTTGAGACCTCTAAAAGATTAAAAGTGTAATCCGGCAAAACAAACAAATCAGAATGCATGAGATGCGCCCGGCGGCCGGTATTTGGTTATTTACAAACCGACCGCGCATTTGGAATTGTAAATGATCATAAAAACATTGATGGACGTTTGACCTTGAAGCTTTAACATTATATGCAGAGGTTTTTGAAAATAACTCACAAATTGCAAATGTATTCACAAACATTACTATGAGGTCTCACAGAGCGGTGGACGCACAGGGTGACACACGAACCAATTACAGAGCTCTATTTACAACGTTCGATTTGCTGCTTCACTTAAGCAAGCATTGTTTGTGAATATGAGTGTTAGTTTTTGCCCCAAAACAGTCCGTTTGATAGAGCTCGTGAAGCACTTTTTTGTTTTTTGATATCTTGTATAGTTTAGAAATAATCGAGTGAGATCACTTATCGTTTCCAACCTGTACCTACCTACAATGTAGGCAGTGTGGCAAATCCTTAACATCAGGTGTGATTGCGGTCAAATACCTGCCTTGTTCTGCATTAAAAAGTTCGCAAAGTAATTTTTCAAGATTTTTCTCAAAACCAAGACGCGTATGTTAATAAGTTTCTCCGTAACGATATAAAGTTATGCCCATAGATGAGTTATGCTCAGAGTCTGAGGTCAGATAGCGAGGTCACGACCTTAAAGGTCAGGGTTCGATTAACAATTTGTATGTAAACATATTTTTTTTGTTGTTTTATGTGTTCTAGACACGCTATGTCGTTATTATTTTAAACTAGCTGACCCGGCGAACTCTGTTCCGCCTTAAAGGCAATAAATAAGCAAATCTTTCCTTATTTGCTCACCGTTTAGACCTACCCTGGACTACGACAAACATTTTAACACCAAAATCAGCTCAATCGGCCCAGCCGTTCTCGAGTTTTAATCAGACTAACGAACATCAATTCATTTTTATTTTATAGAAGATTGTACTCTCATTTGTAGGGTTTTTTTACCCAACTGCGCCAGAAGGAATATGTTTTACAAATGTGTGTCATTTTTTCTGTCTAAACAATCAACCTAGATTATTTCTTACAATTACCGCCCAGTCAATTAATGAGTGACATTATTTGTGGAAAATGTAATTGTAATTTATATCAACACTAGCGTTTTCTCGTGGCTTCGCCCGCATGAAATTTTGTCTGTCACAGAAAAATTATATCGCGCGCGTCCTTGTTTCAAAAACTGGGATAAAAACTATCCTATATCAATATAAATTTTTTGGACTCAAACTATCTCTCTTTCATAAAAATCGGTTCAGTGGTTTAGGCGTGAAATCGTGACAGACAGACAGAGTTACTTTCGCATTAAACTTGTGACGTATTTCAGCAGATTAGCTTTTGCCTGCGGCTTCGCTCACGGTATACTTAGGACCTCCGTTTCATCTCCTTAAGGAGTGAATTTTGCCTATGTTTATCAGAAAAAAATCTGAATTCTAATGATGAAAGAATTTTTAAAATAGGTCCAGTATTTTTTGAGTTTATTCGTTACAAACATACAAAACTACAAATCTTTCCTCTTTATAATATTAGTATACTTATTGCTAAACACTTGTTCAATATATCCCTTTAGCCAGCCTTCAACTAGCTATCTTACGTCTAAACTAAAGTCTAACATCTAAAACCTAAACTATACGGCCGTTAGTCCCAATAAAGTACAAGCAAAATGTTCTTACAATCACATGTCATTGTAAGGTCATACTGACATTTACCGAGAACTATCGCTTTGGCTTACACGTCCATCTGATGTTATTATGAAATAGAATCTAATGTAATAATACTGCTAACATTATGGGTGCTTATTGCAGATGAACGGGGTGTCAATCAATGTATTTCTACATCTCTATTTTAACGCAAAAGTAACTCTGTCTGTCTGTCACGCTTTTCCTCCTAAACCACTGAATCGATTTTGACGAAAGGCATAGAGATAGTTTGAGTCCCGGGAAAGGACATAGGATAGGGTTAAAACCCGGTTTTTGAAACGGACGCGCGCGATAAAGTTTTTCTGTAAGGCCCAGAACAGACGGTAAACCGCAACTGCAGACAAACTGCAACTTTCTGATGATTCTGATGAATGAAACTGAAACTGAAAGTTTAAAACTGGTCGCGTCAAGTGTGGTCTCTCAACGGACGCTATGGCAGAAACTTAGATGCAACTCAAAAGTAACTAGCAGTTGCAGTTTCGTTGCAGTTGCGTTTCACCATCTGTTCTGGGCCTAACAGACAAAATTCCAGACAGACAGAATAACGATAATAATTAGTTTTTCCAAAATTCACCCCCATAAGGGGATTTAGTGGGGTCAAAAGCTTAACACGGCCGAAGCCGTGGGCAGAAGCTAGTTTACTAGATCTACCTAAAATCATAGATAAACCTAGCGTTTTATATGCAGATGATATATCTATACTTCTCCCTTATAAAACAAATACAAATTTAAACCAAAATTTAGAATCTATACTAACCAAGACCGTTAACTGGATGAGCATGCACAATCTTGAAATAAATTTTCTTAAAACAAAATTAATATCTTTCCACCCATATCANATTGAGTACTAAATGACTCTACCAGCGGCAGAAAAAATATTAAAAAATTCAATCCATCAACTAGGCACTTGGACCAAGCTAAAAGTAGGAACACTCTACTAAATCACTTCACTAAAACCTGGTCCGTGAGCACGTAGAATTTTGTGCAATGACCCCAAGCTACCCATCCTTGTCGCTCGCGCGTAAATATGTTGCAGTCGCGCTCGTACACTCACTGCGGGCGTCCGTCGCACAGTCGCGACAGCAATATAATTACGAGCGAGCGATAAGGATGGGTAGCTTGGGGTCATTGGACAAAATTCTACGTGCTCACGAATCAGGCTTTAGCTTAACCAGCATATTTCCTTCCAGAAACTCTTCGCCCTAGCTTTCCTCGTCGCGTGCGCGTACGCAGACGTGTCCCACCTGGTCAACCCTGAGGCCAACGCCAAGATCCTCAGCCAGGAGCTGGACGTGGGCGTGGAAGGGAGCTACCAGTGGGCCTTCCAGACCGACAACGGCATCTCGGCGCAGGCGCGCGGCGAGCTTACCAACCCGCAGTCCGTAAGTACTATTGACAGACCTAGAGGTGCCAGGTAGGTTCCCAGAGGGAGTATCTTCAAGCCGGAGACCAGCCCCAAGATTCTTAGCAAACTCACAATCTGTGAGTTGTCCAGTAGACTACTAAGCCAAGCTAGGTCCCGTAATCCGTAAGTACCCCCTTAAATCTGGCTATATCATACCTACACGACAGCCTTTAACGGCACAACGCGACGAGCGTGACACGAGACAGGACGCGACGTGACACAACGCGAGTACCCTTGGCTTTGAAACCCAGAATTCCAGGTTCGATTCCCAGAGGGAGTAACTTCAAGCTGGAGGAAGCCAGAGCCAAGATCCTCAACCCGCAATATGCGAGTTACCTTGATTACTAAGTCCCGGCTTCGATTCCTAGCGGGAGCATTCTAAAGATCCTCAGCTATTAACAACCGCAATGTAAGCCTTAAGATGTCTCTATGGTCAGGTAAGAAGACTCAAGCTGTGGATCCTGGCTACAATACAAAGGAATTGCAGCGGTGGAAACGAAAGGTGGGAATAGCCTCAATAGTAAGACCAAGTCTGCGATGTCCTAAGTCAACGATGAGCCGTCGCGTTCTAGGACACTACGTTATTAGAGACAAATATGCGAACATCAGGCCTACCCAACAGGTCTAGCCAGTGTGAAGAGCTTAAACCAAATCCTCCATTTGCCTCTGGTAAATTAGAGGGTTGTGCTCCTGCTTTGAAGGCTAAGTTGAATGCGTCATCTAGCGACTTTATAAGGTCACCTGTCCCTAAAATGATCAGATGATGACGTCACTAACTCTATTGTCTATTGCTACAGGACAACGCAGCGCAAGTGGTGCAGGGCCAGGCTTCGTGGTCCTCCCCTGAAGGCGAGCAGATCAGCGTGCAGTATGTAGCCGACGAGAACGGATACCAGCCTCAGGTAAGATCTTTTAACCGCCTCTGTGGTCTAGTGGTAAGACCACCTGCTTCAGACGCAGAGGTCCCGGGTTCGATTCCCAGTGGGGGCAGATTTTTCTGTTCGGTTTGGTTGGTGGTAGGGCTTGTTTTAAGTCCGCCTGGCCATCTTACCTAAGTCTGTCGCTATAACAACAATGTTAACAGCATTGTTGTGTTCCGGCAGTTACAGGTAAGATAGCCAGTTCCTCCGTGGTTGAGGATTCCGGGTGAAGCTCGCTTCCACCTTCGGCCTGATCGTCACTTACCAACAGGTGAGATACAGGCTAAGAGCTTCCTCGTTGTGGATAAAAAATAATATCATTCGTTCGTTCGTCTCAGCCAAATGACGTCCACTGCTGGACAAAAGTCTATCAAGTATTTCCACAACAGGTTCTGCGTCCACAACTGGACAAATCCCACCACTGCCCATGGTTCTTCCTGCCTCACGGCGTACGAACCGAATCTCGGGAGAGCGCGCGGGTACTTGCTTTGGGCTCTTTTCCCCGGGCGCTTTGTTCCACAACTGGACAAAAGACCTCTCCCAAGGATTTTAGCAATGACTGGTCCTTCGCTGCCGGCATCCATGTGCTTTACATAACCTTCGCAAGATCGTCTGTCCGCCTAGTGGGAGGCCTGCTCACACTACGTCTTCCAGCTCTGGTCGCCACTCGAGAATTTTTCTGTCTCAACGGCTATCAGCACTATGAGCAATGCACCCCATTGCCACTTGAGTTTAGCAATTATGCGGGTCATTGCATTTGATGGAAAATGACGAACAGGTTGAAGGTGGAATCGAGCTTAATTATTAGTAAGAACCTATACATATTGTGGCCTACCCCGTCACTATCAAGCTATCTACTATCGGATTAGCAAACTGAAGTGGCAATGGGCAGGGCACATAGTACGCAGAACTGACGGCCGATGGGGCAGCAAGGTTCTGGAGTGGAGGTCACGTAAGACTTAAGACGTCCACAAGGTGGACCGACGACGTAAAGGTAGTAGTAAAAGCGCTAGATGCAGGCCGCTACCAACCAGACAACGTGGAAATAATTGGGGGAGGCCTATGTTCAGCAGTGGACGTTCTATGACTGAAATGATGATGTTGTCACTGTCGCTCATGCTAGCGTCTCTTTTTGCACGAGTAATGGAATGGCGTGACGATTGCCTTGTTTAAATGATGTCACTGTCGCTCATATGACAGTGATGGAATGGCAGTACCCCGACGATTGTTTAAACCAGCGGTTCCCAAACTTATTTTGTCTACGGCCCACTTTGAGAATAAATTATTTTTAGCGCCCCCATTTGTAGTCGAGTGTCGAGTGCTCAGTTGGTATCTAAGAGTCCTCCTAGTAAATGACGCCTCCCAAGCCTCTACACAACGTCCCGATTTTTTTTCTGGGTCTCTTACCGCCCCCCTCTAATCCTGCAGCGCCCACAAGGGGGCGCTATCGCCCACTTTGGGAAAGACTGGTTTAAACCAATTCCTCACTAACTTATGTTTATTATTCCAGGGCTCCCACCTCCCCACCCCTCCCCCCATCCCGGCCGCGATCCAGCGGGCTCTACAGTACATAGCCGAGCACCCGCCCAAGGAGGAGCCCAGGTCTTAAGGAGTAGAATAAAACTCCGCAAACTATAGACATTTTAACCGTAACTTTAAACATAACCTGTGTTTTAGTATGGAGTTCGATAACTTTGGCGTTTGTTATATTTAAAGAAAAATGGTGCAACCCAGCCGTAGTTTTGAGCTGTTAACCAGTAAATATAAACATGAAATTACGCACTAAACTATAGGCCGACTAAAAGTGTATCTACGGGGACTTTAAGCCTAGGCGCAGACCGCCGACTTTTAGTTGGACTCGATTTTAATTTGTATGAAGAACTGGCCGATACCGCATCGGTGCAATGTGCGCACTTTCATACATATCCATACTGGTTAACACCCCGACTAAACTATCGGCCGACTTAAAGTCTTTAGTCTGCGGAAACTTATGTGTAGAAGTATACTGGAGCTTGAGTTTGAGAACCACTAATGGGGGTGTGGCGACACCTATCGACGCGCCACTACAAACTGGTTGCAACGATCGCTCAACAGATGGCCCTGATACAAGCTTACTATGGCACACGCCTCCGGGCCTACAAACCTGGATCGCGGTAGTAAAGTTTTTTCTTTTATTAGTGGTTAAACACAAGCTACAGTGGACTTTTTAGTTGTAGTATTATGTAAGATATAAAATAAATGATAAACAGTTCAATTACAAATAAGTAAAATTTTGTAACAAATTAAGACAATTTTAAATGTGGATTCACATTGATAGGTAATGCTTACATAGCGTCAGAGACTAATGCCCGTTTTCACCATCAATCCCTAATATTCATGTGACCCCTATGAAAACAAAATTCATAATTATTATGTGTTACCATAGGGGTCACTTAAAAATTAAGGATTGATGGTGAAAACGGGCGTATGTTTCCTGCAGACATCACCTAACAATGTCAATATACCTTAAACAGTATACTTATTAAAATTAAATTCTCTATCAAGTTTTGTCCTTGGCGTCAGCCATATTGGTGTATAGTGACGTCATATGTAATTTTGTATAATAAAACGTTGTATGTAAGTCGTTCTATGCGCCATATTGTTTCTTAAAATACTCGTAGTCTCGTGTTTACGTGTAAGATTTTTTATGTTTACTGTGATAAAAGAAATAAATGTTTTGTAACAATAAATTGTTTAGTTCATCGCCCAAAAAGTATAAAATTAATATTAGTTTGTAAGAGGTATCACAGTAAAAAAGGGGGTTGAATCCTGAAAATATTTTGGCTAAGAAACCCTAGGGGTTACAAAAGTGATTATTTTGATATACAGGGTGTCCATTACAATAAAATTATCACTTTCTTAGAAGAAATACATCAATATAAATATATTTTTGTAAAAATCAAAGCACTGATTGATTTGATAATGCCAAGGCTACTGAAATGTGAGAAATGAAAAATCTTGCATATTGCCTATTTTTGGAAGCCGGCCGAGGCACTGAGGAACGAAATGAAGAGCGTGTTTAAACGTAATAATGTCGAATAAGATAGATGTTATTTCAATCAATTTCGCGCATAGGATAACGCCGCCAAGAAAATCTAAAATCCGGTAGTCCTAAGTAAATACAATATAGCACTGACCTTGATCTCTGAGCACGGTGACGGCTTCCAGCACACGCTTGGTGTAGATGCACGGCTCGTAGTTGTCCATCTCCTGGGTCACCACCGAGCACACCCTGTATACAAACAAATATGTTGCAGGTCAACAGTTCGAACATTCTTGACATAGTCTGGTCGCCGAGCACGTATAATTTTGTACAATGACCCCAAGCTACCCATCCTTATCGTTCGTACGTAATTGAGAATGTTACTAGGTATGCAAAATCACTTGAAACCTATGTTACAGTTAGGCTTTTACATTTACAAATACATTAGTTTTTATTTCATTCAAAAATACCCAGTACCTTTTCAGTATCATTGTAATTACCTTCTCATTAAATAATAATAAGTATTGTAAGTGTATTGTCGATGATACTGAATAAACATTTTTTCTTTCTTTCTTTCAGTAGTTATGATTTTATAGGCATTCAAAGTTCGCTTAAATATTGAGTCCCGCCGACGGTCACGTGACCCCGCGTGACGTACATTCACAGTGTCCGCTCACTAGAAAACGGATACAAACATACTTAAATACTTTTTTTTTTGTAATTACAAACTTATTATACATATTAACACCCAGACCCATCACAGAAATTAAAATTGAACCAAACCCAAACTTGATGCGATTGTGTCGTTTTATTGCGAATTACCTTCCAGCTCTATCATTAGACCCTGATTACTATATAAAATTAAAGTACTCATCAATACAAAACGAACGAGCCTAAACTCGATGGATTTAAGTCGTTTTATTATAGAGTTCCTATGGCCACCTTCCAGCTCCATCATCAGATCAGCTCCATGTCATCATAATATTGCATGGTCATCCAAATCACATGTGTTTGCGAAATTTCAGCTTAATCGGTTGCCTGTAAGTGGGTCTTAATTCAGCTTGCAAGATTCCACCCATACAAATATGAGCCAGTCACTGTAATATGACGTCACGCGCATAAAACGGCGGGCAGGCCGCCGCCCGCACTTTTAAAATTCAATATCTTGGAAACTAATTGACGTATCGAAATAATTCTTTCACGTGTATTTTTTATTTTTAACAGAGAATACAGAAAGCTAAAAAAAAAATAGTGAACATTCTTCATTATATTGCTGTCGCGACTGTGCGACGGGCGGCCGCAGTGAGTGTGCGAGCGCGACAGCAATATTATAATTACGCGCGAGCGATAAGGATGGGTAGCTTGGGGTCATTGGACGACTATGTGCTCGGCGACCGGACTTTAGCAAATCTGTTTTTTACAAATTTTCTGAGGCTGCCTCTAGTGGACACCCTGTATATTCTTCCTACCTGTTGGCGCGACCGCGGATAGCGCCGGCGGTGCGCTCGAACGAGTCCGGATCTCCTTCTTGAAGCGCCACCACGTACTTGTTCACGTCCTCTAAGATGTGCTTCAGACTTGGATGCTCAGTCACGTCATGTCACCCCTCCCGTGTCCCATACCATAGGCACTGTCTCAGTTATGCGCTAGGCCTACCTCTAGCTTTGGTGTCAGTGAGACGTGGTAGTTTTGGGACAGTCAGCTGTAGATCCTGGCTGAAGTCCGGTCGCCGAGCAGATAGAATTTCGCACATTGACCCCAAACTACCCATCCTTATCGCTCGCGCGTAATTATATTGCTGTCGCGACTGTGCGACGGGCGCCCGCAGTGTGCGAGCGCGACAGCAATGTTATAATTACGCGCGAGCGATAAGGATGGGTAGCTTGGGGTCATTGGACGAAATTCTACCTGCTCAGCGACCGGACTTTAGCACATCTGTTTTTTACAAATTTTCTGAGGCTGCCTCTAGTGGACACCCTGTATATTCTTCTTACCTGTTGGCGCGTCCGCAGATGGTGCCCTTAGGCACTAACTTAGGTATGCGCTAGCTACTTGTACTTCTAGTCTGATGTGCTAATGTTGAGACACCCTGTATATCAGAGATGTTTCTTACCTGTCGGCGCGTCCGCGGATGGACCCGGCGGTGCGCTCGAGCGAGTCCGGATCTCCTTCTTGAAGCGCCACCACGCACTTGTTCACGTCCTCTAGGATGTGCTTCAGACTTGGATGCTCAGTCACGTCATGTCACCTAGACAGACTGCTTGCTTTCTGGGGGGTCTGGGGTGGTTTGTTTTCTGGGGGATCTGAAGTGGTTTGCTTTCTGGGGTATCTGGGGAGATTTGGGGGTATCTAGGGTGAACTGGCTGCTTTCTAGGGGGATCTGGGGTGATCTGGTTGCTTTCTGGGGGATATGGGGTGATCTGGTTGCTTTCTGGAGGGATCTGGGGTGATCTGGGGGCCTATGGGGTGGTCTGGCTGCTTTCTGGGNGGGGGTATCTGAGGTGATCTGGCTGCTTTCTGGGGGAATCTGGGGTGATCTGGGGGTATCTAGGGTCATCTGGCTGCTTTTTGGGGGATCTGGGGTGATCTGTTTGCTTTCTGGGAGGATCTAGGGTGATCTGGTTACTTTCTGGGGGGATCTGGGGGTTTCTGGGGTGATCTGGCTGCTTTCTGGGGGGATCTAGGGATCTGGCTGCTTTCTGGGGGGATCTGGGGTGATCTGGTTGCTTTCTGGGGGGATTTGGGGTGGTTGGAGTGGGAAGATAAAACACAAATCGCGCACAATGTCCCAATCAAGAGGCTATGTGCTATATTCGATTGCCCTGCAAAACTAACTAGCTACCTGCCCGGTCAAGCTGTAGATCCTGGCTACACAGCAGTTGAAGCGATGGGAACGAGAGGTGGGAAGAGACCCGTAATAAGAGGGACATCACAACAAAGCGCGTAAAAGCGCTTTTTAGTCGCCTTGGCTGAGATAATGATGATGATGATGATTATTATTATTATTACCTGTTGGCGCGTCCGCGGATGGCACCGGCGGTGCGCTCGAGCGAGTCCGGGTCTCCTTCTTGAAGCGCCACCACGCATTTGTTCACGTCTTCTAGGATGTGGTTCTCTGTGAGGAACAACAGTTTAATTTAGGCTCAATTCAATACAAATACAATTAAAATTCAATAGTGGTGATGTCGTCAACAGCATCTGTCAACAGCTTGACGCCGGCCTCCCAGGCGCGTGCGAATGCACTAGCATTCTCTTGCTATCTCTCTCTCTCTCTCTCTCACCCTGTCTCGCTCTCTCTCACACACACACACCCTGTCTTTCCCTGTATCTCTATCTTTTTCTCTACTTACCGCTAACAGCCAAGAAGTCGTCAATAGTAGTGATGTCGTCGACAGCGTCTGTCAAAAAGCGCGTGCGAAGGCACCTGCAATTCTCACCCTGTCTCTCTCTCACCTCTCTCTCTCTCTATCACCCTGTCTTTCCCTGTATCTCTCTCTTTTTCTCTACTTACCGCTAACAGCCAAGAAGTCGTCAATAGTAGTGATGTCATCAACAGCGTCGGTCAACAGCTTGACGCCGGCCTCCCAGGCGCGTGCGAATGCACTTGCGTTCTCTTACTCTCTCTCTTTATCCCTCCCTCACCCTGTCTTTCGTCTCTGTCTCCCTCTCACCTTGTCTCTCTCTCTCTCACCCTGTCTCTCTCTCTCTCTCACCCTGTCTCTCTCTCCCTGACTTTCTCTCACGATGTCTCTCTCCCTCACTCTATTTCTTTATTTCTACACTTACCGCTAACAGCCAAGAAGTCGTCAATAGTGGTGATGTCATCGACAGCATCTGTCAGCAACTTGACGCCGGCTTCCCAGGCGCGTGCGAATGCACCTGCAATTCTCACCCTGTCTCTCTCTCTCTCTCTCTCACCCTGTCTCTCGCTCTCTCTCTCTCTCTCTCTCTCACACACACCCTGTCTTTCCCTGTATCTCTCTCTTTTTCTCTACTCACCGCTGACAGCCAAAAAGTCGTCAATAGTGGTGATGTCATCAACAGCATCTGTCAGTAGCTTGACACCAGCTTCCCAGGCGCGTGCGAATGCACTAGCATTCTCTCTCTCTCACTCACTTATGTCTCTCTCTCTCTCTCTCAGTATACTTACCGCTAACAGCCAGAAAGTCGTCTATTATGTTTATAACGAAATGGGTAAGTGTGCGCCTGAGTAAGAGTGCGCGTTTTCACTCACCACTCTCTCTCTCTCTCTCTCTCTTAGTATACTCACCGCTCTCTCTCTCCCTCTCTCAGTACACTTACCGCTGACAGCCAAGAAGTCGTCAATAGTAGTGATGTCATCAACAGCATCTGTCAACAGCTTGACGCCAGCTTCCCAAGCGCTCACGTCCTATCTCTCTCTCTCTCCGCGTCTCTCTGTTTCTCTTTCTGTCTCTGTATGTCACATGGGTAAGGGTGCGCGTGTTTTCACTTACCACTGACAGCCAAGAAGTCGTCAATTGTAGTGATGTCATCAACAGCATCTGTCAACAACTTGACGCCAGCTTCTCAGGCGCGTGCGAATGCACGTGCAATTCTCACCCTGTCTCTATCTCTCTCACCCTGTCTCTCTCTCTCACACCCTGTCTCTATCTCTCTCACCCTCTCTCTCACACACACACCCTGTCTCTCTCTCACACACCCTGTCTTTCCCCGTATCTCTCTCTTTTTCTCTACTTACCGCTAACAGCCAAGAAGTCGTCAATAGTGGTGATGTCATCGACAGCGTCTGTCAACAGCTTGACGCCAGCCTCCCAGGCGCGTGCGAATGCACTAGCATTCTCTGTCTCTCCCTCACTCTGTCTCTCTCTCTCTCTCCCTCAATCTCTGACTCTCCCTCCCTCCCTCTCTCCCTGTGTCTTTTCTCTCTCAGTACACTTACCGCTAACAGCCAAGAAGTCGTCAATAGTCGTGATGTCGTCGACAGCGTCGGTCAACAGCTTGATTGACGCCGGCCTCCTAGACGCTAACTTTCTCTCTCTCTCTCTCACACCCTGTCTCTCTTTATCTCTCTCACATCCTGTCTCTCTCTCAATATACTCACCGCTGACTGCCAAAAAGTCGTCAATAGTAGTGATGTCATCGACATCATCTGTCAGTAACTTGACGCCAGCCTCCCAGGCGCGTGCGAATGCACTAGCATTCTCTCTCTCTCACTACTTATGTCTCTCTCTCTCTCTCTCTCAGTATACTTACCGCTAACAGCCAGACAGTCGTCTATTATGTTTATAACGAAATGGGTAAGTGTGCGCCTGAGTAAGAGGGCGCGTTTTCACTCACCACTCTCTCTCTCTCTCTCTTAGTATACTCACTGCTCTCTCTCTCTCTCCCTCACTTTGTCTCTCTCCCTCTCTCAGTACACTCACCGCTAACAGCCAAGAAGTCGCCAATAGTAGTGATGTCATCAACAGCGTCTGTCAGTAACTTGACGCCGGCTTCCCAGGCGCGTGCGAATGCACTAGCATTCTCTCTCCCTCACTCTGTCTTTCTCTCTCTCACCTTGTGTGTGTGTCTCTCTCTCTCTCTCTCTCTCTCTCTCTCTCACCCTGTCTCTCTCTCTCTCTCACCCTTTCTCTCTCTCTCTCTCACCCTTCTCTCTCTCTCTCTCACCCTCTCTCACTCTCTCTCTCTCACACCCTTTCTCTCTCTCACACACCCTTTCTCTCTCTCTCACACACCCTTCTCTCTCTCTCTCACCCTGTCTCTCTCTCTCTGACCCTGTCTCAGAGAGAGAGACTCTCTCACCCTCTCTCTCTCTCTCTCTCTCTCTCTCTCACCCTCTCTCTCTCTCTCTCTCTCTCTCCCTCTCTCTCTCTCACACTCTCTCTCTCTCTCTCTCTCTCTCTCTCTCTCTCTCCCTCTCTCTCTCTCTCTCTCTCACACCCTCTCTCTCTCTCACACACCCTTTCTCTCTCTCTCACACACCCTTTCTCTCTCTCTCTCACCCTGTCTCTCTCTCTCTCACCCTGTCTCTCTCTCTCTATGTCCCTGTGTCTCTCTGTCCCTTTGTGTCTCTTTCTCTGTCCCTGCGTGTCTCTTTCTATCCCTGTCTGTTTCTCACTCTACATATACGAAACTTACCGCTGACAGCCAAAAAGTCGTCAATAGTAGTGATGTCATCGACAGCATCTGTCAGCAGCTAGACGCCGGCCTCCCAGGCGCGTGCGAATGCACTAGTAATTCTCACCCTGTCTCTATCTCTCTCACCCTCTCTCTCTCTCTCTCTCTCACACACACACACACACACACACACACACACACACACACACACACACACCCTGTCTCTCTCTCTCTCTCTCTCTCTCACACACCCTGTCTTTCCCTGTATCTCTCTCTTTTTCTCTACTTACCGCTAACAGCCAAGAAGTCGTCAATAGTAGTGATGTCATCAACAGCGTCGGTCAGCAGCTTGACGCCGGCCTCCCAGGCGCGTGCGAATGCACTAGCATTCTCTTGCGCGACGCGCGAGCGCGGACGTGCGCCTAGCACGCGGGCCGCGTTGATCACCTGGCGATGAGATGATGAGATGATGAACAAATAAGTATTATGTATAGTCTAGTCCGTGAGCACGTAGAATTTTGTCCATTGACCCCAAGCTACCCTTCCTTATCGCTCGCGCGTAATTATATTGCTGTCGCGACTGTGCGACGGGCGCCCGCAGTGAGTGTGCGAGCGCGACAGCAACATAATTACGCGCGAGCGATAAGGATGGGTAGCTTGGGGTCATTGGACAAAATTCTACGTGCTCACGGACCAGGCTTTAGTATGTAATCGGAATAGGTTGTGTGATTCTTTCATGCAGTGCATTTTCGCATGTCGCGTGCGTGCGCCTCAAGAAGTCGATAGTTGTGGATATTTATGGGGGAAGGCCTTAATCCATCAGTGGTCAGTGGAGTGGTCGTTGGTAAAGTAAGGTGTCAAGTGTCTGACCTGCGGGCACAGAGCCTCGATCTGCGAGGCGGCGTGGCGCACCATCTTGACGCCGTCCTCGTTGTTTGACATCGAGCACACCAGGTTCGCCACCTGAGGACAACAACATTGGAATACTTAAATACATATTTAAAGTAACTCCTGTATTTTATCTTACAAAAATCTAACTACAGACATAGCACATACTTTTTGTCACATCAATGTCACCAAGACTCCAAACTTGGCTGAGTTGCACCAACTTACTTTGACCGTAACTATGAACATAACCGGTGTTTTTTGTATGGATTTTGACAGATTTTTGACGTTTGTCAAAGTTAAAATTAGATAGTGCAACCCCGCCATATAGTCGTTCAACACTAAACCGCTCCAAATATGACATTGACAGGAGAGCGCTACTATCATATTGGGTTATTAATTCCGATTTTTGCCACGTTGGACAACACTATAGTATCCCATATTATAATTATGACAATTATTAGTTCCAATTTTTGCCACTTGACGTTTCAGCTTCGTTGCCATTTACAAATAAATGTAGTGTTTTATGTTTTTAGTATTTTATCAAAATATTTTTTATACACAACAAAACAGGTATTTGACATTATGACTGCAATCATATCAGATGTTAAGTGAGATGCAGTTTATGGTATTACATCCTAGAAAAGGCATAGTTCTCCCACTAGGTGGACCGACGATCTGGTGAAGGTCGCGGGAGGTGCCTGGATGCGAGCGGCGCAGGACCGGTCTTTGTGGAAATCCTTGGGGGAGGCCTTTGTCCAGCAGTGGACGTCTGTCAGCTGAAACAACAGCATAGAGAAGACTTTCAAAGGGAGTCGAACTTGGAGCCTTAATACTGACCTCCACAAGCTTGTTGGCGTGTTCGGTGAAGACGAGCGCGTATTCTTCGACCTCCTTTTCATTGCCGTCGCTACTATGACTTATGACGCTTATGACTGTGACCTATGACGCTTATGACTATGGCTTATGACGCTTATGACTGTGACCTATGACGCTTATGACTATGACTTATGACGCTTATGACTGTGACCTATGACGCTTATGACTGTGACCTATGACGCTTATGACTGTGACCTATGACGGTTATGACTGTGACCTATGACGCTATGACTGACCTTCACAAGCTTGTTAGCGTGCTCGGTGAAGACGAGCGCGTATTCCTCCACCTCCTTCTGTTGCCGTCGCTACTATGACCTATGACGGTTATGACTGTGACCTATGACGCTATGACTGACCTCCACAAGCTTGTTGGCGTGCCCGGTGACGACGAGCGCATATTCTTTGACCTCCTTCTCGTCGCCGTCGCTGCTATGACTTATGACGCTTATGACTGTGACCTATGACGCTATGACTGACCTCCACAAGCTTGTTGGCGTGCTCGGTGAAGACGAGCGCGTATTCTTCGACTTCCTTCTCGTTGCCGTCGCTACTATGACTTATGACGCTTATGACTGTGACCTATGACGCTATGACTGACCTCCACAAGCTTGTCGGCGTGCTCGGTGAAGACGAGCGCGTACTCTTTAACTTCCTTCTCGTTGCCGTCGCTACTATGACTTATGACGCTTATGACTGTGACTTATGACGCTTATGACTGACTTATGACGCTTATGACTATGACTTATGACGCTTAAGACTGACTTATGACGCTTATGACTATGACTGACTTAAGTTATGACGCTTATGCCTATGATTTAAGTTATGATGCTTGACTATGACAGTTATGTTTATGACCTATGACGGCTATGACTGACCTCCACAAGCTTGTTGGCGTGCTCGGTGAACACGAGCGCGTATTCTTCAACTTCCTTTTCGTTCCCGTTGCGTGCTGCTTCCATCAACACCAGGAGAGGCACGTTGGTCTCCAGAAAGCTGTGGACAAGAAATTAATGATAAAGTTTGATATGATATAGTTAAATATATTTTTAGTAATACCTAATGGTCGACACACGTCACTAACTGTCAGACACGTCACTACTTGTCACTAGCTGTCACACACGTCATTGACTGTCGTCACTACTACTACTGTCGGTCTATCTGCCAATTACGTCACAAACTATCATACACGTTACTACCTGTCACACACGTCACTACTAGTCACTAACTGTCAAACATGTCACTACTTGTCACACCTTCACTGTCAGACATGTCACTAACTGTCACATACGTCTCTAACTGTCAAATATATCACTACCTGTCACACAAGTCACTACCTGTCACACACGTCTCTAATTGTCAATTATATCACTACTAGCTTTTGCCCGCGGCTTCACCCGCGTGAAATTTAGCGTCACAGATCGGCATAAATTATAGCCTATATAAGTTAATCTGGGTTACAAACAATAATACTGTAAAGTTTCAATAAAATTCGTTCAGTAGTTTTTGCGTGAAATAGTAACAAACTCAGTTTTACTTTATAATATTAGTAGGATCTGTCACACCAGTCATTAGTTGTCACACATGTCCAACTTTCACACATGTCACTACCTGTCAAACATATCACTACCTGTCACACACGGCTTTAATTGTCAAATATATCACTACCTGTCAGACACATGGTCCACGACCGCTTTGCGCAGCTGCCGACGCAAATCGCGCGTCTTGCGGCACATATGCTCGATGGCGCGCTCCAAGCCTTCGGATTGTTCTGGTTTGCCGGCCTAGGACAAAACATAGCACTTATAAAAACATATTCAAATAAATAATAAAATACATGTCGCAGTTGGTCATGAGTACGGACGCTAAACTGAAGTGTAAGAGCGCCACCTAGCGGCTGGTCGCCGCAACAACGTTTTGGCGCGCTTCAGAGTCACTTGGCGGAAGTACACCATACGGCAAATTGTCCAACCAACACCGAAATATGGGCACGCACGCGAGGAGATAGGAGAAAATAACCGAGATGGTGTTCACACTATTACGTCTTGGCCAACTTCCCGCACAGTGAACTTCTCCCATATGACGTAGCGGTAGACGAAATACAGCTCAGCTGTTTTATACCAGCGGTCGAAAAGTCAACATTTGTCTACATTCTGTCGTGCGCCATATAATAGTAATTGCGTTATAATTCAGTTAAAAGTTATCCGACCATTAAAAAATCAGCCCTAAAGCATTTGTAGGCGGTCTGCTGTCAGATCAAACATCGCGTATGAACAAAATTGTCAACAATGTATTGCTCTATATTTTTGGGAACATCTAAAAGACATTAATAAATGAACTGTGAAGCTACTCTAGATAAGAACACTTACGTTGGTCATATACTCGTGGAGCAAATCTTGTAGGGCCTGACGCACTGCGTTGCACTCCGCTACAATACGCTCGCGACGCTCGTCCCTGGACACAACACATTTTGGCCATGATGGTATAATCATAAATGAAATTTATTAAAATAAGGGTAGTATTTTAATGGGTGCGAAGAATCCCCGGGGGATGCCAGGCTACCAACACCGACGACCTCTGCCCCTGGCAACCTATAACGCTCGCACACTGCGTGAAGACGTAGCGTGGGCAGGCCTCCTACTAGGTGGACCGACGATCTGGTGAAGGTCGCGGGAAGAGCCTGGATGCGGGCAACGCAGGACCGTTCATTGTGGAAAACCTTGGGGGAGGCCTTTGTCCAGCAGTGGACGTCATTTGGCTGAAAACGAAGGGTAGTATTATGTATAAGCAGAAGAACAATATTTTCACCACATCAAGACGATGGTATAGCATTGGTTCCCAAACTTATTTGAGACGCGCCCCCTTTCGACCATACAAAAAATCCGCGCCTACCTCCAGTCAAGATTATTTATTGGTCGTATCGAGCAGTCTGGAATGCATTCTCTCAGCGGTCGCAAGTTTTTTATACCTAAGTACACAATTGGGGGACCTTTAAATCCCACTTTGGGAACCAATGGTAAAGAAGGATGTAGGTACACACGGCCACACTGTTAACTATCCATTTCCGTTTTTGCTCTCGCTCTAATCAACTGGTGATTCTTTGCGTTAGAACGAGATGACATGACTTGCAATGGGCAGTTAACACTGTTGCCGATAGTACATACTATGTTTCAGACATTTCATAAATTGAGATTGAATTAAATTGTCAGAATGAAATCTGATTGGTTATTCAAATCATTTTTCACTCCGCCCTAGTGGAAACCGGGCCTAAAGTGGGAATCAGATGGTCAAAACAGTCGCCCAGCAAACGAAAGGTCGGGGGCTCGATTTTTATTCAAATTATTTTAGAATAGACATGTTGACACCACCAGTCAATTGACGTACTTTTTAAAACTGTCAAAACGAAACTCTCCCATAGATTTTGTATGGCACTACAAGCAAGTGACGTCACTATTTTGTCAACTCAATTAAACTACTTTTTTCAATTACAATGCGAACGAAAATCGTAATTTACAGGTAATTTAAAATGAACTAAGTTTTTAAGACCAGAATAAAGGTATTTTTAAAACAGTTGTAGTTTCGAATTATTGGGGAATGGTGTCAAACTGTCTATTGAGTTTAATCCTGAGATTCTGAGGCCTTGTCTCACCTGGTGCAGCCGCTATCCGCCATCAGCGCGGCGCCTGAGATAATTGACTCCAAACGTTCTTCAAGCGACGGCCGCGTGCGCAGCTCCGAATAAGCTAGCGGTTCCATGACCATGCGCTCCTGGAAGGAAAGAGAAAAGGCAATGAGTTGAGCGCCCAGTTGGCGCCACTGGGGAAAAGTGGCGCCAACTGGGCGCCAATTAGTAACTATGAAAGCAAATGAGTTAACGCCTCTGGTGAGCCACTCGATAATGGCGCCAATAGGCTATTTCCTAAAAAAATTTTTTTAATCCGTCAATTTTAATATAAAAAAATAATGGACACGTATATTTTGAATTGTTTCAAAATTCAAAATTATTTATTGTGAAACATAGGTGTTTACAGATAAAAATATTACATTGTGATAGTCTCACTATGTTTCGCCTGGTTGGCATACAATAATATAAGTGATTTAAGTTTGTCAATCAAACAAAGTTATGGTGCGTTGAAGTTCCGCGCGACGTCACAAAGTGCTGCACTTTTACGCACTCACTGACGTCACGGGCCTTTTCTTTAGAATTTTGGCACGCTTTATCTCTTTACATTTTCATTAGTTTTAAATAAAAAGTGAAAAATACGTGTCGAGTAGTTTTTGATATGCTAACTGACGGACTAATTAAAACTCTTGTTTTTTTACCCAGGAAACATCCCTATTGGTAACTGCTACTACTGCTAGTGCTATAAGCTTAATTACCATGCGCTCCTGATAAGCAAGTATTTCTGAAGTTCTTAACATTAAATGCATGCCGAATTAATAAATAAATGTTTGTAAAACACAATGTTGCTGTGCCCAAACCGGGTCTATGTTTAAGACTACGAGGGCGGCACTGAAAATTTCGGGAATCAAGGAAGTGAAACAACATTACTATTTAAAAATGTATTTATTGCTTTTTAAAGTATTCTCCGCGAAATTTGACACATTTTTCCATACACGATGCAGCCCTCGTATACAATATATTGTTTAAGACCTTATGTAGAACATAGAATGCAATAAACATATTGAATTTAATTGAATTGAGTTTGTGCCCAGTTGGCGCCACTGCGTAAGGCGCCAACTGGTGCCAGCTAATGCGATAACACTTGCAGTATTACCGGTTACTAGTTGGCGCCTACAACAATGGCGCCAACTGGTGAAAAACAAAGTGATAAGATGTGGCCTACTGTATAAGAAATTAGGAGCTGTCGATATCGAATTTAATCCATTTTGATACTTACATCAAAATCGTCGAGCGCTTGAGCCAATTCTCCAGGGCCCTCGACCGGGGGACGATTGGCTCCTGTAAAAATAAATAAATTAGACATTGATAACATAATACGTGCTGTATTTGTGCAGTATGGTGTAGCGTAGCGCAGTGCACCGTAGTGTACCATAATGTAGCGTAGTGTATCGTAATGTAGCGCAGTTTATCGTAGTGGAGTGTTAAATGTAGCGCAGTGTATCGTAACGTAGCGTCGTGTAACACAGTGTAGCGTAATGTAGCGTAATCGTAATGTAGCGTAATCGTAATGTACCGCAGTGTACTTGTAATGTAGCGCAGTATACTTGTGATGTAGCGTAGTATAATGTAGTGTAGCGTAATGTAGGCGCAGTGTATCGTAATGTAGCATAGTGCAGCGTAATGTAGCGCAGTGGAGCGTAGTGTAGCGCAGTGTATGGCAATGTATCGCAGTGTAACGTAATGTAATCGCTATGTATCGCAGTGTAGCGTAATGTAGCACGGTGTAACGTAATGAAGGCGCTATGTATCACAGTGTATCGTAATGTAGCGCAGTGGAGCGTAGTGTAGCGCAGTGTATGGCAATGTATCGCAGTGTAACGTAATGTAATCGCTATGTATCACAGTGTAGCGTAATGTAGCACGGTGTAACGTAATGAAGGCGCTATGTATCACAGTGTATCGTAATGTAGCGCAGTGGAGCGTAGTGTAGTGCAGTGTATCGTAATGTAGCGTGGTGTATCGCAGTGTAGCGTAATGTAACGTAGTATAGTGCAGTGTAGCGTGGTATAACGCAGTATTGTATGATATAGCGCAGTTTAGCGTAATGTAGCGTAGTATAGTGCAGTGTAGCGTTATGTAGCGTAATGTATAGTAGTGTTTACTAACCGTTATGCGGCGCGGCGCGGCCGTGCGCGACTGCAGATATGGCGTCGACAGCGCAGCATACAGCGCGTAACACGTAGTCGCGGTTCGCTTTGGCAGCCGCCAATTCAGGGTGGCGGACGTACACCTGAGAAAGAGTGTGTTAATAAAAATAATAATACGTACACAAAATATTCTTCGCGAAGGTATTTCAAATAATGTCTATAGTCTGGTGTGCGAGCACGTAGAATTTTGTCCAATGACCCCAAGCTACCCATCCTTATCGCTCGCGCGTAATTATGTTGCTGTCGCGCTCGCACACTCACTGCGGGCGCGCGTCGCACATTCGCGACAGCAATATAATTACGCGCGAGCGATAAGGATGAGTAGCTTGGGGTCATTGGACAAAATTCTACGTGCTCGCAGACCAGGCTTTACTCAATGTCGTTAACAATATGGTTTAATTTATCTTGTCTCAAACTTAACAGAGAGCACTGTTTCGTTTACATACGTCAGTGATCGGTACCTCTAGCACGAAAAGCTTTCGACTTCGAATCGCTTGCGTTTTCGAATCGCCGTCAAAAGATTTAGTACGAAAATTTGTTTTTTTTTTTAAATAAAACCGACTTCAAATGCGTGAACACAAAAAAAAACTAAAAATTAAAAATATTGCGTATAAAAAAGTTCATCCCCAATTTTCCACCCTTGGGGGTGAAATATTTTATTCAAATTCGCATGAAACCACCCTTTTGATAATACCTATTCAACAAAAAAATAATCGTTCAAATTGATTTATAATCGGCGGAGATATTGCGTATAAAAAAGTTCATCCCCAATTTTCCACCCTTGGGGGTTGTTTTTTCTATTATTAGATTTAAATGGGACCACCCTTGAGGTATTACCTATACGCCGAAAAAAGATTTGTTCAAATCGGTTCATAATTGGCGGAGTTATCGCGTAACAAACATAGAAAAAAAAAACATACGGGTCGAATTGAGAACCTCCTCCTTTTTTGAAGTCGGTTGAAAACTAAAACAGCGCCCTAGTGAACGTGTCGTAAAGTGAACTTAGTATGAGAAATGGTTGCACGACACTTATTTTGACAATTAAATTATCATTAATTCGAAGGTTGAGTATCGCATTTTGTCGAATACGCAAACTATTCGAAGACGAAAGTTGTTCATGTTAGAGGTACGGTATAGTTCCAAAATACTGAACTGTCCTATCCATGACATTGACAGCGGGGCGCCACCGTCAATACCGGATCGCTGGTTCCGATTTTTGCCATGTTGGAAACCATATAGTTGAACGATGGTAGCGCCCCCCTGTCATTGAGTTTGGTGGGACAGTTCAGCGTGGGTCATCTATACTATGTTGATGCGATAGGGAATAGGAATGACAACTACAAGAAATACTGCGTCGCCACCTAGCCACATGCGAATTTTATCTTAGTTCCATAGTTTTTTTTTTACCTCAGGTGAAGAATACTGCGAGAATAGAATACGTGCTACTTGCTCGTGATTTTTTTAATACGCCGTGCGTGTTTTGTTTTCAATGCGTACTCGGGGAGATGAACAGGCCTAATAGACTGCGAGCTAGGAAATAATAAACCAGAAAGAGCACTAAGCAGCCACGCATTTATGATTTTTTTATTGTGACACCTCCTAACGTTTAAGTAAAAAAAAGACATCCACGCTCTCATGACTTCGTGGCGACACGATGTTTTTTTTTACTTGGCGTCCCTTAGTTAATTAGTTAGTTAAATTATTATTATTAAATAGTCGGCCGTTTGGTGTAGTGGTTCAGAACGGACTACTATGCCGAGAGGTCCCGGGTTCGATTCCCGGTCGGGCAGAAATTGAAATGAAGAATTTTAATTTCTGTGACGGGTCTGGGTGTTTTCTATGTATAATAAGTATGTTCGTTCGTTTCAGCCAAATGACGTCCACTGCTGGACAAAGTAATAATAAGTATGTATTTACAAAAAAAAAGTATTTAAGTATGTTTATATCCGTTGTCTAGTACCCATAGTACAAGCTTTGCTTAGTTTGGGACTAGAGGCGCAGTGTAAAAAATGTTCAAGGATATCTTTTTTTTATTTAATTATTTATTTTGGTAAAAATATCAAAGAAATCAACATACCTTGGAAGCAGTAAGCAGCATGGTGGAATGCTTCTTCAGCACTGCCCGCGCTGCAGCCAGCGAGTCTTTCATCACCGGTTCCTGCAACCATAGACAGTTTGAATGTATGTTTCAAGACTTCAGGTTAAGAAACTTTATGGTCAAGAAGTGTGGCGCAATTCAATTCTAAACAGCCCATTTTTGCACCACCAATCAATGAAGGCTTTTGTTTTTATAATTAGTTGGCGCCACTGGTAATTGACAGGACCTTACTATACAGTGGCGCCATCCTAATGATTGCAAATGCGATGGTCCTTCTACCGCTTCAAAACTCTCCAGTTGGCACCACTGTATTAACTAATAACAAGTGAGGACAATGACAAGGAAAGTATATGGGAAGCACAATAGACCGTAATGGGTTGAGGTGCAACTTATATGAAAAGAAAAGAGAGGAAAAAAAAGAAAACAAAGAACAATAAAAAGAAAAATAAAAAGAAAAAGAAAATTTTACATACCTTGAGCTCGTGCTGCCTCTTGGCAGCCTGCGCAGCCAGCTCATCGCCGGAGCGGCCGAACTGCCGCGCCGACTCGACCAGCTCGGACTGCGATGACGCCGACTTCAGCTTGTCCAAGTCGTTCCTACCTGAGCTGACAGGCTCGCGAGACGAGGGTCTTAAGCGACGCCTATTGGAACCGATAGTGCCCATAAAAGCACTGTCTAGATAGCCATAAGGCAAGACATACAGGAGCTGCTCTGCCTAAACTGAGATGTCATTATGACAATGCGACGTCCCAGCATTGGTGGATGGTATGTTGCTACATACTATCAAGAACAGTGCATTCTTAGCAAGATCTCTGGGAGAGTCCAGAGTCGCTAAGAGCCGCCGAGAACCAGCCAGGAGTAGTCAAGCGCTGCTCCGCGTCCTGGCACATAGCGTCGCGTCACGTCACGTCGCGTAGCGTCTCTTCATGTCACCTAAGAAAACGGGTGAAAGCCGTCTTTTTACCCGACTGCGCCAGAAGGAGGGTAATGTTTCTCTTGGTCTCTTTTTAGCCTTGCCCGGTATGCGCTGCTAGCTACCTAACGTACGTACGTAAGTAAGACACATATAGCGCCGTGTCACATCTCTATCTGCGCTGCCCTATCTGGTAGATACCCCACTAACTAGCACATACACATACCTTGAGCTCGTGTTGCCTCTTCGCAGCCTGCGCAGCCAGTTCGTCGGCAGAGCGGCCGAACTGACGCGCCGACTCGACCAGCTCGGACTGCGATGAGGCCGACTTCAGCTTGTCCAAGTCGTTCTCCACCTGTGGCCAAACACACAATATTAAAATCAAAATAATAAAGTAATAGCTGTAGCGGTTATAGAACATACAATAAGGATTCGGGACGCTGAAGGGATGGTGACTCCAAGGAGAACAAATGGCAAGACCACCTTCAGACGGTCCCAACTTAGACTTGTGACGTCACTTTTACAGTCTATTGAGTGAGGCCGACACGCTCCGAGCAGAATAGGCGGGCGGTGGGGGCGGTCCGCCCCGGGTGCCAAGCATCAGGGGGTGACAACAGATAAGTGAGATGCTGGCTTAGAGCCATCTCTTGTCCAACCTCGGAACTACGTAGCACTCACCGTCCGCAGGCGCGCTCCAGCACTCACCGTCCGCAGGCGCGTCAGCAAGAGCAGAGATTCTCCATTGTGTATGGAAAGAAGCTGTCTTCGCCTTGGAGCAAGGAAAACCAACCCTAAAAGAGCTGTCTTCGCCTTGGAGCAAGGAAACCCGACCCTAAATGTATAGGGATAAGGCTCACCGTCCGCAGGTGCGTCAGCAGCAGCCGCACGTCTACCAAGTCAGCTAGTATGAGCAGGCGCGTCACGGCCGACAGCAGCGTTGTTCTATGGTCTTATAGGGGAAAGACCGGCTGTCTTCTGAGACACCTGTCTCTGGCCAGAGCCAGGGAACTACTAGTAGGCACTCACAGACTTGTGACGTCACATTTGCAAGGTCCACAGAGCCTATAAGTATCATTAGCTACCTACCTTGAAACTACCTCTATATCTTACCAAAATGAGTTGCCTCAGTGGTTGATACTTGCGAATGCTGGGTTTCCATTTCCACTAAGTGAGAAGCTTTAAGCCAGCATCTCTGCTGCATCTCACAGTGAGATGGTGGCTTAGAGCGTAGTTTCTCCAGAAGAGGCTCTACATCAGGAACTCACTACGCAAGCAGACATTCATTAGGAGACGTTGTCCTAATGAAGGTCTGTCAGAATGATGGATGTCACTAGAAGTCTCCAAATACTTATAGTTTGGGAAAAAATCAAATGATACCGCGATGCAACTGTGTCCAGCGCCATCTCTTGTCAAACCTCGGAACTACATGGTACTCACCGTCCGCAGGCGCGTCAGCAGCAGCCGCACGTCATAGTTGATGGAAAGAAACTGTCTTCGTCTTGGAGCAAGGAAAACCAACCCTAAAAGAGCTGTCTTCGCCTTGGAGCAAGGAAACCCGACCCTAAATGTATAGAGATAAGGCTCACCGTCCGCAGGCGCGTCAGCAGCAGCCGCACGTCCACCAGGTCAGCCAGTATGAGCAGGCGCGTCACGGCCGACAGCAGCGCTCGCGCGGCACGCACCATCGCCGAGCGATGACGTCACACTATTATTACTAGTTTTGTGGTCTTCTGATGGAAAGACCGGCTGTCTTAGACTCAGGGACAGGCGCGGTTCGACTACAATAGCCACCCACAATCGTAATAGACCTGTGACGTCACTATTTCAAGGTCTATTGAGCCTATTGGTAACACTAGCTACCTACCACACCACCAGCGTTTACTAGGCTAGCGAAGCTACCTCCATCATCATCCATATCTTACCAAAATGAGTCACCTCAGTTATTGAAAATACTGGGTTTCCATCAAGTGAGAAGCTCTAAGTCAGCATCTCACTGAGATGATGACGTAGTTTCTCCAGACCAGAAGAGGCTCTATGTCAGGATCTCACTTCACTTACTACGCAAGCACAGAAATTCATTAGGAGAAGATCTCCTAATGAAGGTCTGTCAGAATGATGGATGTCCCTACAAGTCTCCAATCTTACTCATAGTTTAGGAAAAAATCAAATGATACCGCGATGCAACTGCGTCCAGCGCCATCTCTTGGCGCACCTCGGAACTACACACTCACCGTCCGCAGGCGCGCTCGCAGCAGCCGCACATCATAGTGGATGGAAAAAAACTGTCTTCGTCTTGGAGCAAGGAAAACCGACCCTAAATGTATTAGGATAAGGCTCACCGTCCGCAGGCGCGTCAGCAGCAGCCGCACGTCCACCAGGTCAGCCAGTATGAGCAGGCGCGTCACGGCCGACAGCAGCGCTCGCGCGGCGCGAACCATTGCCGAGCGTGCGGCGGACGCGCACGGTTGCTCGGAGAATTCGCGCGCGGCTACGCTCATTGCTGCTCCTGGAGGTAATAAAAAAAAAATAATAAAATCGTTTATTGCAAGAAAAACAATTACATTTTTCATATTAATCTTGGACTCCACACTAGGCAAGCCTGTCTCGTGGAGGCCAGGAGATAACTTTACAATATTTTGGGTACTTAAAACTATTATTAGAACATAAAAACAATAAAAAAAAATCAATAATTGTGCTGTATGTTTTATAAGTATGGGTTATGTATGTGTCGTGTATTAAGTAATTAGTGATTGATGATAAAATATTATGAAGTGTAGGTATGTCGTAGGTTTCACATTTTGTTTATTGTACTATTCTTATGAAATGCTCTGTGTTTTCGTAATTTAGTGAGGTAAGCCATGTTCCTATTTTGTGTTTAGCCTCTCTAGTAGGTTTGTCTTTTATGTTGCAGAATTTTACTATTTTATTATAAATAAATGGGCTGAGAAACGTGTTGAATCGATGGGCAAATGAAGTTTTAGTTAATGGGACTGGGATTGTAAAAAATCTTTTTTGACAGGAGTTATCTCAGAACCTCAGAAGGAAGTATCTCAGAACCTATGATATCTAAAAAACGACGCTGAAAAAGTATAAAACAAGATTTTCAGAACATTGAACTGAACAAAGTTGCTAATGTAGTTGCATAGTAATTTTCATGTTTGGAAAACCGCAGTCACACGTTGTCGAAGTGCTACGGTAGGTAGGTATGTAACGTGTGACTACGCCTTTCCAAACATGAAAATTACTATGCAACTACATTAGCATATTCAAAATTTACAAGTAAAGCGCTTTCAAATGATACCAAACACGGCATATTTATCTTAACTTTTTTTTTATTCTATGTTTCGTCCACTAGAGGGCGCCACATTAGATTTTGTGAAACTTCATATAGCCTATAACCAGTGGACAATTAAGACTCTTCTAATGATATGTCATTTGTCGAATTCTGATAAGTAGGTAGTTTAAAAGTTACGAGGGAACAGATGAACATACATACATACATACATAGCCTGTCAAAATCATAACCCTCCTTTTGCTTTGCCGCAGAAACTTAGATGCAACTCAAAAGCAACAAGCAGGAGCAGTTTCGTTGCAGTTGCGTTTCACCGTCTGTTCTGGGCCTAAGACGGAATTTTACGAAACTCCACGCCTAAGGTAGATGAAAGGTAAATGGGATCCACGCGTTGACACGTACGAAGTCGCGGGCGGCCGCTAGTTAGTTATGTTTCTTCTAGCGAGTGGCCGCCAGTGTAGGCGTGTTGCAAGTGGATGCAACTAGCTTCACTTGTGCGGCATGTAAAAACTTGTTCCCTGCCACAAGTAGCAGAGATTGTGGCAAATGTAAGATGAATTATTCTCCTCACACTGATAAGACAGGTTTCCTAACCTGATATTAGTAGGATGGTCAAATACTCAACTGATGGTATTAGGAAAAACACAATTAACTTACCAGCCTTCCTAACTTCCTCGACCGCAGCCAGCATCTCCTGCGTAATCTCCGGGTTCTCATAAGCAATGGTCTGCCCGCGCTCGATGAATATCTCGGTGGCTCGCTCCACCGTTGCCACCAGAGCGCTTGCCCGCTTGGACTTGCCAGGACGCTTCTTCTTCGCTGCCTTATCCTTGCTGTTGACCAGCGTGGTCACTTGAAGCACAAGCGGCTCTAAAGTACGTTCCACCGAAGTGGTTCGTATCTCCAGATTCTTCGGGTCCCATTTTAGGGTCAAAGTCCCCGTTGTACCGTACGGATCTGTCATTGCCACTAGAAAGAAATAGATTACATTCTTTAACTTATTGTTGTTTATCAAATACAATTATCTTACTTTTACTCACTTTTAGCCAGTCTTATAAACAGGGTGGAAAATAATCATGATTTATTTATTTTAATCAAAAACATCAGTTTTTTTTTTAAATCACGATTTTTTCGATTTATTTGATTTTTTCGATTTTTATTGCGTTTTGCGATCATTTTTTAGTTTTTCTTACGGAAAACATTTTTATTTACGTAGAATTGATGTATAACTCTGGCAACACCACCAAAAAAAAAATTGTGTGGTTATCTAAAAAATCGCAAACATGTTTGTACGGAAAAAATATTTTTTTTTATTCTCTATTCAAAACATCAATTTCATACATTAACACCTATTATTAACATTGTTTTCGAACATTACAGTTGATTAATATAAACTCCCAGCCTTTCATTAATTCCATTTTTTGATTTAAATCAGTGATTTTTATTAAAAAAATCATGCAATATAAATCGCGATTTAAATCATGATTTAAATCAACTTGATTTAAATCATGCAACCCTGCTTATAAACTTGTAATAGGGTAAACCAACAGTCATTGGACGGCTGCCAGTCATTGGACAAAACAACCCTTGAATTTTCTTAAAATTAATATTCCTTCAAATACAATGAATATTCCTTAAAAAAACGCCCTTTTATTTCCATCAGTCGGAATCTCTCACTTTCTTAAGTGTCCAATGACTGGCAGTTTACCCTATTATTTTTTACAATACCTATGGCCTTCTCCAAAATACATACATGAAAATTAATTAATAGTATTTTTTTTTCCTAACCACTCACACTCCTACGTTTTTCTGATTAATTTCGTTGCAGGTCCAATGACAGTTTAACTTTCCCCCGGGACAAACTTGACCTTCACTGGTTGGGTTATTGGCGGTCAAGCTGTAGATCCTGGCTACACAGGATTTGCAGCGGTGGGAATAGTCCCGTAAGGTTAAAATAATAAATCTATGTATCAAGAGTTTAACAAGACTGCCAGTCTGGCACTCTTACAATCTTTGGAGTGGTATTTTATTTATGAACCGACTCCTAGCTTATTAATATATCAATGATAACTTTTTCTTATTCTACCATTTAAGTATGAGGTTTGTATATTTTAATCTCATTGAATATTCATAGTACTAAAATAGTAGGTAGTCATATAAAATCATTGTTTACATAAAATGTCATGTATAGTCACAGTAATACAGTGTGAGTCACGTTAAAGTGTACATATGAAAATAGATGAAACTAGACCTATTTTTATCGACAAAAAATAGGTCAATAATTTTTTGAGATTTTTTTTTTATTTTTTATAGAATTTTTTTTCTTCCAATTACTTATTGTAAAGAAAACGTAATAACTTTTAAACTAAGCGGTATATCCTGATAAAATAAAAACAGTAATAATGCTAAATAACAGGCAATACTAAAACAATACATGAAATACACAAAAAATGCCAACAAATAATAAAAAATGAAACTTTTTGAAAAAAATCTGCTTAAAAATTCGTATTTTTTTTGTTATTTGATAAATTTCTCCAAATAATCAATAATAAGCGGTTTTTATTACTTTTTATTATTTTCTATCGTATTACTTTTGTAAAACTAAAAATCGCATGTCTCTATCCCTATCACAACATTTGCTATGATCGTTTGAACAAAGGCCTGCCACCACATTTTTCTCCGCTACAGGTAGAGACAATTTTAATTTTAACTAAAATGCTTATTTTACTTCGAAATCTTTTGTTTTTATTTGAAATCTAACTTGTCTTTATCAAAACTACAAATCTAGAGTCACTTTCAGTTTCGTTGTTAACGAAGCGTTGAATGGCGCGCCCGGAGAGGCGTAGTTCAAACGATCATTGCAAACGTTGTAATAGGGATAGAGACATGCGATTTTTGGTTTTACAAAAGTAATACGATAGAAAATAATAAAAAGTAATAAAAACCACCTATTATAGGGGCATTTTTTGAAGAAATTTAACAAATAACTAAAAAAATACGAATTTTTAAGCAGATTTTTTTCAAAAAGTATAATTTTTTATTATTTATTGGCATTTTCTGGGTATTTCATGTATTTTTTTAGTATCGCCTGTTATTAAGCATTATTACTGTTTTTCTTTTATCAGGATATATCGCTTAGTTTAAAAGTTATTACGTTTTCTTTACATTAAGTAATTGGAAGAAAAAAAATTCTATAAAAATAAAAAAAAAATCTCAAAAATTTTTTGACCTCTTTTTTATCGATAAAAATAGGTCTAGTTTCATATATCTTCATATGTACACTTTAACGTGACTCACACTGTATAATAAAACTGCAACAGTTTTATCTATTAATCAGTTGCAACACCCTTTGTAAGCTGGTGAAAGTTAAAACAACAGTTTTTAACAACCCCAATTTGCACATTTCTACAATGTTATTTTTTAATTTGTTCAAGCATAATGTTGTTGTTTTCTTTTGTAAATATAATTGTATTAAAGTAAAAACTGGAGTAACTTAGCTGTGCGTCTTATGAGTAATAGGTAAGTAGATATGCATTGTGAAGAATGTATGACTCATACGAGAGTGCAGCGTAATTTAATTAAGTAATTTACTTTTATTATCTTGTTTGTGTATTGAACAAAGTTTGCAGACAAATATTGATCAGTACATCGACTGAATTTCATGAATAAATAAACAAATTATAGCTCAGTGAAAGGTAAACGATTACACTGCCAAATTGAAATGTCATTAACTTGTTTAAAAACTTTCCAAAACTGAGACTTTTTAATTTGGCAAGGTTGAACATCAAAAACAATGTAAGGGATTTATTACTTGTTTTAGCGGCGAAATCCGACGTAATTCTCCACTTAAACTTATTTGAATCGATGCACTAATTAACTATACACACTAATTAACTTATTCGATGTCACAAATCACATCAAAAACCACAAAATTATTCGAAAATGCGATTACAAAAATCAAGGCGTGTCAAAAAACACAGCAAGACGTGCACAGACTAAAAAAAATCTTTTTTATTTGACGTTTGCATTCGAATGAGGATCAGTACTGTTGTAGAAAATTCAATAAAACTAGTATAGCCTGACCAGGAACATAAAAACCCTCGCCATGTTGCGGAAAACTAATGGTACTAATTTCTTTTAATGGCAACAGTAACTGAAAACTTCATTGACATGTCACCTTGCATGTCAGTCTATTGTTGTCAAAGTGTAAACAAACTTTATTTTAAATGTTTGCAATTGATTTTGTGAATTAAATTGCTAAAATATTTTTATAGTCGTGAAAGAAAAGTGGTTCACTATGTGTTAATGCCAGGGTTTTTATGTTCCTGGTCAGGCTATATCTACGTTAATCTTTAAGACATAAGAAAGATATATCTTTTTGAATTATCCAAATCGGACCATTACTTACGAAGATATTAAGTAATAAACATAGGCCGTTTTTGCCGCTAAAAGTCAACGTACGCAAGGCCGCGTGACGTCACTATATCCGAATCGAGCGCAGCCGGCGTACTATTGGGATGGAAAATATTTTTTTCCGGCTAAACTATCAGTTTTAGAAAAAAACTTTTAATAACATTTATTCAATGTCTTGTAGCCTAGGCAGAGTGTATCTGCCTCAGCTATACCTTATTGTTAGAAGTAAATAAATTAATACTTACACATTTTTATATTTTACTTGGAAGAAGATATGACTCTAACAACACTTATGAACACTTTATTTGAATAAATCGCCAAATATACCACCGCGGAGACCCCAATCGCGTCTCTACGTGCCATTGAATCGTATGAGCGTATGGATTTTTTGCGTTATTTTTCACAATTTCTATTTTTAAAAATTACCTATCGATAGCTTACTTTATTCTGATGAATAAATGTCATTACAAGTTTTTCTCTAAAACTGTAAATTTGGCTAGAAAAAAATATTTTCTATCCACGCAGTACGCGGGCAGCGTTCGGATCGGATATAATGACGTCATCGTCCCCGCGCCGGGCGGTCAGTGAACTTTTTTAGTAATTTGGCCATAACTTCGTCAATTTTTGTCGTAGAACAAAAATTTTTGCACTGTGTATTAAGGATTTCTTAGCCCTATAAATCTGCATTCACAGCTAAAAATCGAAATGATCCTCATTGAGTAATCGATTAAAATGGAATATGATTATCGATAACCATGATTCAATTAATGTTCGATTTATAGCGTTTTTATCGTGGCAAGGCAGAAGATTTATTATTTTAACCCTTATTCAAATAAAGGTAGATATATTACCACTTCGTTTACTTTTAAAAAGGATCCTAATATTCGATATGGTAATACTTAAAGATATCGTGGTCACTTATTTATATTTTTAAATATATTTTTTTACTTATCTATGCCATTTTACAACTTTTCAACGTCATTTGTCACTGTCAGGTAATGTCAAAGTCAACCAAACGGTTTTGTTGTGAAAAATTTCAAGTTTTTAGCGCGCGTTTTTGGTATTTTTGAAACTTTGTTCAACGAAAATTCTGATAAGTGTTTTTTCGATTCAAATTCCTAAACTATAACATTTATTGTATAATCTCACTTATAGGCAGCGTCTGCAATTGATTTATTCATATAATTTAGACATTTTAAAGAAGTGGTAAATAGTTTACCACTGTCCGATCCCGTCATGACAAAAGTTTGATGATATATTAAAAAAACTGTTGTTTTTTGTATGTGCACAAATAAAACTAAATAAATATTTGGAGAAATTTTAAGTTCTTTTTATATTAACGTTTTGACGTTACGTAATTAGTGAATTGTTAGTTTTAGACTCAAGGTAAGAATAATAATTGTAAGCATAATAACTAATATTAACAAATATATTTTTTTATAAAAACAATAAAATTTTTTCATTCCCAAAATATTTAATAAAATATAGGTAGAACCAAGAGGAAGTCACTAGTCAAGAACCAAAAACAAACCAAGACGAACAATGGTAACTATTTTACCACCAACATTTAATAATTGGTAGTCATGAATGGATAATGGTAAATTATTTACCACCCAAAAAACTACCCCTTCCCCTATTTTTTTATTAATTTTGATCAAAAATATGAAATAAGTGACCCACAATTACCCAAAATCCACTTCAACTTTGTAAAAAAAATGCATACCAGCTCGCATTTGAATAAGGGTTGACGAAATTTTATAATTCTTTTATTCATCGTCATTTGATTTCATCGTCATCGTGATGGACTGCAAATCGCAAACTGCAAGCCACCACGGTTTCTTTGACTTTTTCTTTTTCACTGCGGTCAACCGTAGCCTCTAGCTGCAGTACCGCCCTGTGTTTGCAGTCTACAGCCCATCTTGGACTTAATTAAATAAGGATTATGATTCAAATCAAACAAAGAATTTATTTATTTGTTAAATCAACTTCATCCAGGAACTTTAATGGATCCGTCCCCTCCTCATTCAATGAAGGAATCGGCGGTAAAGTTGGTATGTAATCTGTAGCATTGGTCAATACTGGACTCCCTGAAAATAGGCCTTTCAATTTGTCCAGCATTTGTTGACGAACCATAGACCCAGTTTGGTCGTGCACTGGATTCGTTTCGTTCAAATACTTTTCTATATCTTCAAACCTAGTTAGGTTCATGTTAGCCCCATCTATGTCGTTGTAATAATCGTCTTCTACTGGTTGATCTAATTTTAATGGATCGCTATCAGCATGTGGCATAGGCATCCCTCCTGGTAAACTTACTTCTCCTTCTTTTTTTTCTACGACGACTTTTGCGGTAGACTTTTTTTCCGTTGACTTTTTTGTCGTAGCGTTTTTTTCAGTGACCTTTTTGTGTGTCACCTCTTTAACGGTAGTTTTTTCTTCTTTTTTGGGAATTTTCTTCTCATCTTTCGTTCCATTTGTCGGATTCGCTCTAAATACTACACTGTCGTATGCAAACGTATTGTCCACTACTTTAGTTGTAGATTGGGTAGTTCTTGCTGTAGTAGTCTTAGGTCTAGTTGTTGTTGTAGTAACTCTAGTCGTTTTAGTCGTTGTAGGTCTAGTTGTGGTAGGTTTGGTTGTGCTTTTAGTGGTGGCTGGCTTAGTAGTCCCTACCCAGAAGTCTAAAGGTTCATAGTGAGGCGTTTCATCCGATTCTTTGCGAACCTTCATCTGTTCTTTTACATCTTTTATTTCTTTTTCAAGGTGGTCTATACGTTTTATTACTGTGTCTGCTACAGGTACTGCATTGACTGTCGTATTGTTTGAACCAGCAGTGTGGTTAACTTGTAAAGTATCATTGGCATTGTTTTTTCTGAATGATTTTGTGACGACATCGCTAGCATCTTCATCATCAAAGCTGATTGAGAGGCCTTCGTCAGATTCCAGTTTTGAAGTAAGTTTATGTCTTCTAAACTCTTCGGTGTGATGTTTAAATCGTGGCTTTTTAGATTTCATTTGTTTCTTGTAACTATTCGTTCTTTCGGTTGAGCGATATCTGAAACAAACCAAGTTATAAATCTACTGACACGTTTCTGGGATACGAAGATGGAAGTAAAAAAAAATTGAAAATACTAAGGCGTATTGTTTTGTAACAATAACTTAGGTGGTTCTGAAATCACACAGACGAATAATTCCTATAAAATATAAATTTAAAGTAGACTACAGTTATTTTCTTTGACAATAATTTACCTTTTCTTTTTGCTCCTTGATGTTTTGACAAATCTTGACTTCTTATGACTCCTAACAGTGGTCGGCTCATCATCCGTGTCAGTGAACTGTTCTCTCTCTACATTTATCACTGCTTCGTGCTCTGCCACTATCTCCCTAACTGGCTTATGTTTCTTCCTATGTCTAGACTTGCTCCTATGTTCCTTCGAACGAACGTTTATCTTCTTTGTAGTCGACTTCTTCTTGTGCCGACGTTTCTCCAAGAACGTTATCGATTCAGGGTACAGAGTGATAAAAGTTAGACGCCTTCTCGTAGTTTCATCATCACGTTCGCGTTCTCTCTTCACTTTTCTGTCTGGCTTATGTTTTGGTACATTTTTGGCATGCTTATGACGTTTAGGGGTAGTTTTTAATTCGTAACTAGCAGACTCCTCTCCTTCTACATGATTCTCTTTCTTTTTGGTTTCATCGTTGTTGAAAGGTCTAAACTGCCACACGTAGTGGTGACTTCTCTCAGGATGACCGAAGTCGTTCCAAAACGTTTCCAGCTTAATTTTCAGATCGCGACGTCTTTGAGGCTCCAATGAGCTGTAGTGGTCGAAGATGATAGATCTAATTCCATCTCTGACGACCTTCACTAAGTTTACACTGGACCTCTTCGACTTACTCTTATACAATGCTAAATTGTTAAGAACTTCCTTAAACTTAGCATCGGATTTGGCTCCGTACAGAGTATTCACGTAATCCATCACCGTTTTCTGCATCAGGCCCATGTTTTCATCCTCAAATTTCCTAAGCATCTTCTTCAATTCATCCTTAACCACTTTAGCTGGAGCATTCTTCATCTTCTCCAAATTATCAGCCATGAATCTTCTCACGTTGATATCCTCTACCAATTCATGAAATTTGCAGCCTTTGTAGTGATACTTCCTCATTTCATCGTCTACAATCGTGAGGACGTCTTCCAAATCACTATCATCGTAAGTACTCAAAATGCCTATCACATGTTTGATGAAATCAGTGAATTTCAAGCGTCCTCTCGGAAGATTCCGTCTGTATACACTATTTTTGTCAATGACCATCTTGACTCGGTCCAGGAAGCTTCGCACTTTATCGATTATGTTGACATCAGCAGAGTTTTCGTTGTTGTCGAATTCTAGAATGGTTTCTAGTGCTAGGTTGACGCTGCGCTGTTTGGATGGTTCTTTACAATATGCTGAAAACACATTATTACTTATCAAAAATAACCCTTCATGAGACGTTATGGAGATAGTTACCAAACTTGAATCGCGTGCCTAGAGAACTAGAGGACTATTCCCAACGCTGCGACTCCTGTGTAGCCAGGATCTACAGCTTGACCTCCAATAAAAACCCAACCAGTGAAGGTCAAGTTTGTCCCGGGAGAAAGTTGACCTAAAGAACTAGAGACAAGGGAAGCAGTAGGTACCTATATGGTTTTCTCCTATCACCATAGTATGGAAAGTTCATTTGTAGGACCTCGAAATCTAGATTCCTGATATGCCTCTTACTTCCATATACAGAAATAATTTAGCTTTAGGTACTTTTGCCAATTACTTAGTGATAACAATTTTTTTTTAAATAAAAAAAACTAATTAATGAAAATATTAAGTTATTCTAGAAACCAACAATTACCGTATGTTTGGAACAAGGCTATAAACACAAGAACTTTCATTTCGTATAAACTATACAAGTTTCTATTCAAATCTTTATCAAGAACTTATAAATGTTACAACTCGTAAAAATGTAATCGACATCAAAATGTTTCTGTAGAAATTCGTCATAATGTTATTATTCCAGATTATTTTCATTTGGAGATCGGTTCAAGCTGAAATATTTACTGTTCGTACGTATTCCAATAACTAATAATAACAAACCCTATAACCGCGACCTCATAAAGGTAGCAGGAAGGCGCTGGACGCAGGCCGCTACCAACCGGGCAACATGGAAAGCATTGGGGGAGGCCTATGTTCAGCAGTGGACGTCCTGTAGCTGATGATGATGTGGAGTGAGAGTAAAAAATATTTAGTTCCATGACAGCGGAAAATTATCAATCCAAAGCCAACAGCCCACACACAATCTTCAAAATAAATATAGATCCAGTCGTCACATTACCTTTTATATTTTTACAAGCAAGTTCATCAGTAGGTATATCTAATTTCTTGACTCTCTCTCTTAACTTACCATGAAAAAACTGTTAAATAAGTAAAATAATTTTAGCTACAACACCATTCATTTTATCCCTAGCTTTAGAAAAAGTGAACGTCACCAACAGCGTTCTGACGACGCAACAGCCAAAACGGCCAATCGGATTTAAAGGGAATATTCGTATTAACACACCAAAGTTCACCCAGCAGTATGATTACGTAGACAACTGGTGGCTAACCATGCGAGGATTGAAAGACACGTCGTACTTCTCCACTCGTACTACACCAAACAGATTCTACCCATTCTTCGAGCAGACCTTCACTCCGTCTACTGTTTCGACCACAGTGATTTTTGATGATTACCTAGACGGTGCAGACCCTGCTGACCCCGAGAGAAATTCCAGCTATGAGGTCGACTATGGTGGAATGAGGACACACCAAAATAACGTACCAATAGATTCACACGCCAACGATAATACTAATATGAAGAGACAAGGACTAAATCCATTGCTGTATGATATAGCAAATGTAAAAGCGCGGCATAATCAGATACATAAAATGATGGTTCAGAATGTATTTGGATTTAAAACTACTGAAGCTAGAATACCTATTGTTGTTAATGACAATTTAAGAGGGACAACTCACAAAATAGAAGCTATGAGGGAACTAAATGCAAAACCGAAGTATGTTGAAGATTTGAAAGGAACATCTCACAAAGTAGAATCTAATAAAGAACCAAATGCAAAATCAAAGCATGTTGACGATAGAGTGAAAAGAATAGATGTATTCAAGACAGGGCATGACCATAATGTAAATGTATTTTATAACAAAGTAGTGAAGAGCCATCAGATGAATGTTAGTGAGAATGATATGCCGATGCTAACTGCTGAGGAAATTGAAGACATCAAAAGATATTACGGGTTGAGTGGTAAGTTCTTTGAAACTGTTTTGGAATATTAATAAATCAAATGCTTTTAAGTTAACGGGATATTGTGTAAACCCTCTTTTCTTTCTATACGTGATATGGTTTGCCTGCCTTTTTCTTATCCACAAAGAGGAAACTCTTGGCTTATATCTCACCTCACGGTAAGTGATAATTGGCCGTTATGGCCGAAGGTGGAAGTGGGCTTCACTCGGAATTTTCAACTACAGAGGAACTGGCTATCTTACCTCTAACTGCCGGAACACAATGACATTGTTGTTATGGTGACAGACTTAGTTTAAGATGGTGGTAGCTCAGGCGGACTTAGAACAAACCCTATCTATATCAACTAAACCGAACAGAAAAATCTGCCCCCACTTGGGATCGAATCCGGGACCTCTGCATCTGAAGCAGGTGGTCTTATCATCTGAACCACTAGACCACAGAGGCGGTCTCTCTTTATTTTCTCTTAACTACTCGTAGGTATGAGTTTTTTAAACGATTTTGGTAATCTTCTTATGGCTAAAATCCATCGAAATTGGCATTTGCACGAAACAAAATGAACAGATTACAAAGTATGAACCGTTTATTCCAGATGGAGATCTTGTTACTGACATGATTGCGAGTGCTACACTACCCGCAATCAACAGACAAGGAATTGGAGCAGAAGTACGACTCACAACTGGTGAGCGTACAAATTCAAAATATAGGGTTTCATCCACGAAGACGCACCCGACCATGTTTGGTCTCGGTCGCGCGGGGTGCGGGGAGTTTGATCCGAGCAATCCGAGCGTCATTATAGTAGTGTGCATGTGCACTCATGGATAATTTAGCGTGTACCGACAACACTCAAACATTAGCGGAAGAATTATGGTGGGGCGCATCTTCGTGGACGACAATATAATCTATACAACACGGGATCCTAATAATAGGATGTCTCTGTGGAAAACAGCTCATAATAATTTAAATCTTAATCATTTAGGTGTATTTTATTATATTTCTTTCACCAGATGAGCCGGGTCAGTATCAGTACCCTGACACATCGGAGCCGCCTTTGGAGCCCGATTTTGGAAGCCTCCCGCCTCAAGACGCCACTTTGGCCCCTTGGCTGCCGTGGATGACTCACCCCTCCGGCGATACCACTCGCTTTGGTAATGTGTACAATCCCTACTAATATCATAATCTGTCTGGGATTAGAATCATAGCTCATGAGTTAGCTCATCTTCAAATCAGTATTCCAACATCTTGGGCGGGGCACCAGATGACCATTTTCAATTCTCCCGACGTGTATCAATTATTGATCTGCTGCCTTTGAACTTCTCCAATACCACATTTCAAATGCCTCTCTCTTTTGCATAATTTTCGCACCTTAATTACGACACAATCAGAAATAATGACACCAATATTACTATCATTCCGTCCTTCGGTAATGAGTAAATGACATTCTAAATCTTCCATCATACAAATAAGTGCTATCGCACTATAACCATCATTTCTTCATTCCAACCACCCTGTGGTCCTCTTTAAGGTAGAATTTCTTTCTATACCTATCTCCTTTTTGGATATACCTTAAAACTGAGACAGATAGCCCTTTACTTTCACAGAGGTGACAAGAAGCACCACCACCCAAACCCCATCTCCAATGTACGACGACAGTGCCTGGACACAAAGGCCTGGAGACCTGCTAGAGCCACTCAGGATCGAAATGGGCGTCTTCAAGATGGGCTTCTTCTCCATATTCGTCAGCCACGGCGCCTTCATCATCAGTAATAAGACTGACAGTGAAGTGCGGAAACTAAGCTTGGCTGTGGAGCCTGAGTTGGAGATTTTGTAAGTGTGCATGTTTAATTTGACAACTCCATAGAACGACAGCTGGTCGTCCAGGGAAAAGTCGAAGGAACCCGATCGCGTGGCAGGTCACCAATGCGCTGGACCGACCAAGTGAAAGCAGCAGTGGGAGACGGCTTATGTGACTGCACCAGACAGTCTGCCAATAGAGAGAGATGGAGGGAGATCGTGCGGAGAGTTGTATCCGTCTCTACAACCGATGTGAACAACGCCTCAACGTGACCACGACCGCTCTGCCAAGAGCGTAACGAATAAGATGAAGAAGTTTAATTTCGAACTCCTCCTATGTTCTTCTGATTAATTTCGTTGCGGGTCCAATGACAGTTTAACTTTCCCCCGGGACAACCTTGACCTTCATTGGTTGGGTTTTTATGGCGGTCAAGCTGTAGATCCTGGCGGATCCAGGAGTTGCAGTGGTGGGAACGAGAGGTGGGAATAGCCCCGTAAGTGTGCAAATTGTCTGTCTACTCAATCCGCGGCAGTCAACGGTAATAGCAGCCATAACAATAAAACTTCTATTGTTTCTGTTTCTTTCAGAAAAAAGTTCGACCTCCGGAGCTTTGGAGAACCGTTTCTAGGGGCTTTTGAAAGTTTTGCCAAACAATTGGGAGAGTGGCCTGTGGACGATATCAAAGGTAGGTAATGAAATGAAACAGTAAAGACAAAAATTCTACTACTTTGCTTGGCCCATTCCCATTTTATTTGGGGTCGGCCCTCCGCGTCATGCGTCTCCAGGCGGCTCGGTCCTGGGTTGTCTTACTGATAACTTGGGCTTCTTTAAGACAAAAATTCTATGTGATATTATAGTAGCTTTCTACTTCTGAAATTCTGAACAGTTCACCTCCAGGTAGTCCTTTATAAAATAACAAGGAATATTTTTATATCTTCTTGCATTTTGTCTACGAGAAAAACCAAAATTTACCTAAAGCAGCATTATCCAGAAGCAATCTTAATAGCCACGATAGCCAAACGGTGAAAGGGTCGGACTGGCCGACTCGAGATCCGAGGAACGCGGGCTCGAATCCCACCGCCGCTCGACTATTGTGGTGAGCCCACTCGTAACACAAGCCTATTTAGCTTAATACGAGGGGCTAACGGGATTATCAGTAATTTGTGCGATACAAATTGCTAATAATCTTTTAAAAACATCTTCATCATCAGGTCACTTAATTTCCACTGCAGAAACACGACCCTCTTCAATTTAAGTGAAGCAAATGGAGGATTTAGCCTACATTCCCCATGCTGTCCAAAGTCCAAACGCGTTGGGGACCAGACATTCTAAAATTGGACGAATCTTTCCAGCTCACTGCAGAAACCTGAACTACGGCATCCATGTGAGAAGAGACCACTTCACCGACGATCTGAACGCATTGATCGACTACATTGACTACTTATTCAGAGAAGATGAGGGTATTAACCTTTTTAGGTCCCTGGAAGTCTTGAACAACTACCCTAACGGCTCAGAACACTCCTTTGACGTCATTAGGAATATTTCTGTTGCTTTATTCGCGCCTTACAGAAGACTGGCTGGTACTAATGAGAGGAAGGTGTTGGTAGATACCATCAACGAGTATGTTGGACAATTTTATGTTACTTTACCTGCCAGAAGGGTATTCATGGGAAATAACAGCATTTTGAATAAGCTACTGAACTTTGATACGAAGTTTGCAGAAGTTAGTGAAGATAGTAAAACTAAGGTTAGAAATGAAACAGCAAATAAGTCTACTGGACTTCCTTGTACAAACCGATGTGATAAAGATAGTAAATATCGAAATGTAACTAAGGAGAGAATGATTAAAAAGATTAGAAATTCTTCATATCACAGAGAAATAAACAAAAAACCAACGACAGGTAAATACAAACAGTTCAATCGCCCGTATTCACAAACGATGCTTGCTTAAGTGAAGCAGCAAATCGAACGCATAGCGTTGAATAGAGCTCTGTGATTGGTACGTAAGTCACCCTGTGAGTCCACGCGCACTGTAAGACCTCGTAGTAATGTTTGTGAATACGGGTGAATAACTCAGTGTACCTACCATGAGTTTACGTTAGGTGTGCTCGCTAGCGAGTACGTCAAAAATCTCTATGAAGATTTTGTTTCTTGAAAGTAGCCGCTAGGGGCGCTGCACAATATGTCATACAATTAATGTCATTTTTATACGCAGTCGCTAGCGAGCACACCTAACGTAAACTCATGGTAAGCACACTGTTCAATAGTTCAGTGACTGTAGTTATGTTATTGTGCTAGTTCCTTGTACTAATAATACCATTTTGTTCTTGTTTTCCAGTAAAGCGATCTCAAAAGACTCCTAAACAACTTACAACTCAGCTGATAAGACACAGAAGAATCAGATTAACTGAAGGTCCGAAAATATACAAAAAGTACGTGCTACTAAAACTACACAGAAAACACAAGAAGAAAAGGAAAGAAAAACTTAGAGAATTCAAACTAAAATATTTCGGGAAACACAAAAAATACGCAAATTTGACAGGTTACAAGAAATATTCTAAAATTAAAGCGGAAAAATTAAGAGATAAGCTAAAACTAAACATAACGGAAACTGATTTTGATGAAGAATATGCTAGTAACTCTGAATATCACACTGATTTTAACATTGATGATGATACAAAATTGACAAATTCTAAAGTAAATAAAGTTAAGAAAACTATCCATAATGCTCTTACAACATCGAAAAAACTTTATGTAGAAAATAATTCAACCATTTCATACAAAAGCAAACAAAAAATAAAAAAGACTAAAAAATCCCAGTTGGGTTCTCTAAAACTTGATGTTTCTAATTTCACAATTAAAAGTTCAACCGAAAAAATAAAGATAAGAAATAACAAATCTGACAAAAGTGTAAATATACTCCGAAATAACAATAGAGCTGTAACAGATTCCCATAATCACTTACCATCACCTTATAATAAAGAAGTATTCCATTCAAAAAAACGTCTAGATACTAGCAATAAATGTGCAACAACAGATAAAAATAATGTCAGACTTAAAAGTGAAACAATTAAAAATAATATAGCTGTTTTATCAAGTTATAGTGACGATGAAGATACCCTAAAAATTCGCCTATCCGATGCTTTGAGACATAATAAAGAATATTTTAAACAGAATAGAAGAGCAAATAATGTCGCCAATAATAAAATTTACAATAGAATTAATAAATTATCCAGTTACAGTAGTGAAGAGGTGGTATTGAAATCTAACATTTATAAGTCATTGGGTTTTCAAAACTACAGGAAACACGATATAGAACGTAGAATGAATGGTAATGATGTTAAACTTAAAATATTAGAAAGATTCAAACCAGTAAACGAAATATCTAGCTATAGCGATGAAGAGAACGTTTTAAAAGATAAGTTAAAAATGTTTAGACAATAACTACTGATTGAAATGTAATTTTATTTGGATCGAGTTTTGTATTTTTATTACAGTAAAGGACTGCTTTTATGTCACAAATTGTTTTTATTACATTATCATTCTTTGGATCTTTAGATAATCCATGATTTATTATAAAAATGAGGCATTTTTTTTATTACCCAATGAAAAATTCGAAGCTATAGTTATTATAAGTTTAAATTCGTGGTTACAGTGGTTAGAAAATATCAACAACTTTAATATTTACTTTCCTACAATACATACTACACGTTTATCAAAACTTATTTCTAAGTCATAAAAATGCACTTGGATTTATTGCAATAAAAATGTTTTACTAGGAATTCTTAAAAATGTTATTTCTTATTCTGTTTATTTATTATTTGGTTCATGAAGCAACTTTGGTAACGTGTACGTATCTGATACATAGTTGTATTTTGTTTAATTTCTACTGGTGTTATTAGAAAATAGGATTACAGTTATAGAAATAGGGCTCTAGGTGAACCGATGATCTGGTGAAGGACGCGGGTAGTATAAATCGTTTCATCCACGAAGACGCGCCCCACCAATTTTTGGTCTCGGTCGCGCGGGATGCCGGGAGTTTGATCTGAGCAATTCGAGCGTCATTATTGTAGTGTGCGTGTGTACTCATGGGTGATTAGCGTGTACCGATAACACTCAAACATTCGCGGAAGAATGGTGGGGGGGCGCGTCTTCGTGGAAACGATCTTTACCTGGACGCGGGCAGCACAGGACCGGTCGTTATTAAAATCCTTGGGGAAGGCCTTTGTCCAGCAGTGGACGTCATTGGGCTGTCAACGAATAAACTACAGAATCTTGTTAGGCCAAAATTTGAATGGCGATTTTTATTTAGACCTTGAGTGACTAGAGAAGTTCTGTGTCTTAATATCCACAGTTGATCAATATACCATTTTCAGAAGAAAAACCAATTAACGGATATTGAATAAGTCAGAGTTGAAATTTTACCTACTGATAAAGGTAGCAGGAAGGCGCTGGATACAGGCCGCTACCAACCGTGCGATGTGGAAGTCCTTGGGGGAGGCCTATGTTCAGCTGTGGACGTCCTGTGGCTGAAATGATGATGATGAAATTTTACCAATTTCTCACACTTGGAATAACTTGAACAGGCTCATTTATTTTCACAATTTTTTCCTGTAGCTTACCAAATTGAGAACACCAACAACTTCGTTGGGACCACACCAAAGAATAAAAGGGTCGGGGACTCCTGGACTCTCCTCAATTTAACTGTCCCCCACGTAGCACCCAAACTGACACACTATGACCTCAGCATCAGCGGCGAAGACCTGTTCCGTCATGACCAGTACGAGTACAGAGACATGTGGTGGGTGACCATAAGAGACTTCTATAGAGGCATAAAGAGTCCTAAAATATACCTTGAAGAACATACTACAGAAGCACATACTACAGATGAACATACTACAGAAGAACATACTACAGGAGAACATACTACAGAAGCACCAAGTGTAATAGACACACATACTGACGAAGCGATGGTACACAACACTACTATGGATAAAGCTGTCAGAAACAAGCTCAATTTGATAAGAAACGGCCTAAAAGGCTTCGACTTTAAATCCATTCACAAAGGCGATTTTAAGGAGAACATAAAAAATCGATTGATGGATAGAAAACTAGCTCAAATAAAGGCTAGAAATAAGCAAATACAAAGAATGCTTGTTGAGATCACTAAAGATAAAAATACAACTGAAACTACGAAACCTTATCGTGTTCAGGATAATTTACAAAGAGTTGACTTAAATAAAAACGCTTTCAGACGTAATCACAGTGTAAATCTGTTTTATAATAAAGTAGTTGAAAGCCTACAGATGAATGTCAGCGGAAATGAAGTTGGCAAACTCGAAATTGGGCACCTCGGTGATCTTAAAAGATACTACGACTTAAATCGTGAGTTAAACTCTTAGATTTAACTCTATTACTATTTTGCTTACCGTGGAAAAATGTCTCATGATCGTCATTAACTTGTGTAGATTCTCCGTAACCTTACTTTCCACTACTTTCATTGCTAGCTGATTAATTATTTATGTATCTAAAATATTGTGTAGCTATTCAGCTTCTAAGACAAGGGAATTGGCGGGCAAGTTCTTTAGAATGACGCAGGCGTATTTCAAGCACACTAATGTGTGTTAAGTTTTGCGGGATCCCATAAAACTGAATTGTCATGGGAATACGCCCATTATTATATCACACTAATTCTCAATAAAATATACATGCTTTCAGATGCTACCCACCAAACTCCCACAGCAAACATTTGGGCCTTAACAACGGAAAATGCCATCCATAGACAGGGTGACCCCCCTGGCCCCCCAGGCCCCCCAGACAACTACCCAGACAAGCCCCCGCCGTGGCTGCATCCTAACTACTGGGGTACGACTACTACTCGGGGTAAATATACCTATTGAAAACATACGGAAAAATCAGTCAACTTGAATAGCTGTGTCCACACCGGGTGCATGGGCTCGTGAGCCAAGCTTGTCATTCTGCTCACTCAAGACGCTCGATGCTCTGGAGTGAGCAAGATGGCTCGTAGCTCATGCGCTCGGTGTGGACGCAGCTAAAGATATAAGTCTAAAATGCACTGCAGACCGCAAACTGCAAGCTACCAGAATCAATTTCATAGAGGTTCAAAGAAACCGTAGTGGCTTGCAGTTTAATAAAACAGTTTATTTAGTACATAGGCCCTTTCCAGGGCACTTATACACGTCCCAAATATAGCTCGCCCTACTACCTACCACTTCGGGGCAACATAATTATGTGCTGGTGCTGAGAAGATGTTCTGGAGTCCATCTTGGACTTGTACCTTAATGATTTATCTGCCTGCTTCTCAGATTCATTGGTTTGAGTGTGTAACTGATGATCTTAGGGCCCTTTCCCACGGCAATTCAGTTTTGCGGGATAATAATGCAGAATCCCGTAAAACTGGACTAGTGTGTGTTCGAATTTTCGAAAATTCAAGTGGATCGGTATCTTGCGGACACTTCAAACGGGATGTTCACGGGATCCTAAAAACGCTCAATTACCTATGTACCAAAGAGTAAAGGTAGCAGGAAGGCGCTGGACGCAGGCCGCTGCCAACCGGTCATCATGGAAGTCATTGGGGGAGGCCCTTGTTTAGCAGTGGACGTCCTATGGCTGAAATGATGATGATGAAAGAGTAAACTAACCTTGTTTCTTCAGCTACAGCCACAACCACCACGACAGCAGTCCCACCATCCGTGGAAGAAGAACCCCCCAGCCTGTTGCTACCCTTCCAGAAAGCCATGGACCTGTACCGTATGGGCTACTTCTCGGTCTTCGTCAGCCTGGGCTCCCACATCGTCTCCGAGAAGTCCTTCAACGATGTGAGGCTGCTCAGCATGTCTTTGGAAAGGGAGTTTCATAGGCTGTAAGTATAATTATGTATAGATCGTTTCATCCACGAAGACGCGCCCCACCATTCTTCCGCTAATTTTGAGTGTTACCGGTACACGCTAATCATCCATGAGTGCACACGCACACTACAATAATGACGCTCGGATTGCTCGGATCAAACTCCCCGCACCCCGCGCGACCGAGACCAAACATTGGTGGGGCGTGTCTTCGTGGATATAACGAACTTATTATAACTATGTATTTTATGCCCTTCAATTCAAATCTTTACTTTCAAAGTGTCACAAGGTTTATTTGACTAAAGAGAGCTCTTCTTACTTTACCTGTAACAAATGTCAAAAATGAACAAATGAACGTAAAATGAACCCCCATGCAAAATTTGAGATTCCTAGCACTTGTAGTTTCTGAGATTTCGTGATGAGTGAGTCAGTCAGTGACCTTTCGCTTTCAGACATGATGATGACAAGCACATTCTTGGCTTCGGAGAGCCGTTCCTTGGTGCTTTTGAACATTTCGTTAAACAAATGGGACAGTTGCCTGCCGATTACATCAAAAGTAAGTTGACGCCTTCAATTGATAACATAATTCTGTTCTACAATCACTCATCTGATTCCAAAACTTCTGTCAAATGTCAAGATGCACAATCATTGCAATTTGATGCAAGATAGCCAGTAATTCTGTGGTTGAGGATTCCGCGTGAAGCAAGCTTTTAGCTTCGGCCTGATCATTGCTTTCCATCAGATGAGATGCATCATGCAGACCAAGAGCTCCTCCACTGGGGTTAGGAATTACAGCAAAACAGTGATTCGAGACTATCAGGCCTTCCCAAACCATGTGGCATAGTGTAGACCAAATCCTCCATTTGCCTCTGATAAATAAGATAAGGTCACGCTCCTGCAGTGGAAACCAAATGACCCGATGATGATGAAAGATTAGCAAAGCAAGAACTTACAATAATCTCGTTTTAATTCCAGGTCAAGCCCAAATCTTGCAACACAGCATACACTTCAGAAGGGAATACTTTGCGGACCAACTAAATTCGCTAATGGACTACATAGACAGTCTTTACAATGAAGATGAGGGAGTAGCTCTAGTCCAATCTCTAGACGCTCTGAATTTATTCCCTAAAAACACTTGGAACTCTTACGAAATCCTCAGGAACATTTCTGACTCTCTATTCGCACCTTACAAAAGATTAGCTGGTACAGTCAAAAGGGAACTTCTCGTGGAATCTCTTAATGATTTTTTAGAAAAGGTCGGCTACACCTTACTTGGTGATAAAAATATTTTCGGGGTTTTGAATATAACGGATGCTAGAAGAAACTATAGCAATAAAACTAGGTTTGCTGTAGTGGGAAGAGAGACAAGTGGTAAAACGAGACAGACGGACACTCGTTTAAGCAACACACCTAGAAGTGTCACAAATATTAAGAGAGAAACCTATGATGCAGAAAAGAAACTCAGAGAGATTAATACGAAAATTAAAAATGCAGCTGTTAAAATTAGAAAAGTAACACGAAAGGAACCAACAGCAGGTATATTAATTAACAATTAGCCAATGTTTCATGGTCACTGTGAATTTAATTAATAAAAAGATTGATGAATCTTTTTATTATATCTTATTCTCGATTATAGATTCGATAGCCATTCGAACAATTATTATTCAAATCGTAAATTTCATGCAACCTCTTCTCATATCAATTTTGGGTTTGCTTATTAATCAAAATTTATTTTTATCTTTACAGTACCGCGTTCACAACCTACATATCACACAACTCAGCAAAAGCCTCACGTAAGACTGGGCTTCAAAGAAAAACATCCAAAAATATACGACAAGTACCTGCAACTGAAGAAGAAAGCGCACAAGAAGCATCGGAAAAAGGAAAAGTTTAGAGAGTTCAAGAAAAGATATTTTGGGAACATGTTCCCAAAGTTGCACGGTTATGAAAGATATTCCAAAATGAAAGCGGAAAAATTGAAAAACAAACTACTCTTAAATATATCAGACACTGATTTTGATGGCGAATATCTTAGTGATTCTGAATCATATGATTCCGATTTTAGTGCTATTGTTTATAAAATGAAACAGGCTAAAACTAAATTTAAAGACTTCAATAAAGGAAGACAATCTACCCTTAGGGTTTCAGCATCGAAATCACCTTCAAATAAAATTAGTAGAACAAAAAAATCAAGTCAATTTACCCAAAAAAGTCATAAAACTGCAAAGATAATGAAAATAACTAAAACATCTAAAGCAGCAACGAAAAGAATACATTCCGATATTAATATATCCCACTCAACTATAGAAAACAACGCAGTTGCAGCAAAAACAAATATACTCAAGAAACTTAATGAGAAACTAAATAAACTAACAAATGAGTTAGGCATAGAAAAAAGTCGTCTTAATAAGATATCACTGAAACCTACCAAAATAGCAGATTCTCAAGTAAATAAAACTAACAAATCTTCAGCTATTACAACCATAGATTTCACTACAGTTAAATTCAAAAGTGTAACAGCTAAAAATAAAATTGCAGCGTTATCCAGCTACAGCGATGAAGAAGATGTTCTAAAGTTTAAAATTTCAGACGCAATGAGACATGACAAGCCATTTCTTATACCACAAAGAAGATTAAACAATTTTAGGCAAAGATTTAAGAAAGACATTGATGTAAGCTACAGCAGCGATGAAGTTGTGTTGAAATCCAAAATATATCAGAGTCTGGGATTTCAAAATTTCAGTAAACTTAATGAAGTAAGAAGAAGAGCAAATAATGATATTGATGAAGTTAAAGTTAAGAAGATAAGATTTCAGAAATTCAAACCAGTTAATGAGATATCTAGCTACAGCGATGAAGAGGATACTTTGAAGGAGAAGTTAAAATTGTGATTTGCTTTGGACTAATGTAAAATATTTAATAGCATTGACCTACTTTGTAATTTGTTATCAATAAATAAACTTTATGCGTACGAATATCCTACCTTACTTTACTGCCCTAAAAAATATGGGATTTTTCGATTGGTGTATGTTGATTAATGATTGAATTAACTTTTCAGAAATACAATTAAATCAATTTAAGACTAAGTATAGGCTACAAGACATTAAAATCCAACATTTGTAAAGAAGTCCCTGATTGCCTTTTAAATTTCATCATCATCATCATCATCATCTTCTGACTATAGCCATCCCCTTTTGGACTCCCAAATACGCGCCATTTTGCCTTGTCCCCGGAGGGCATCCTATGGATCTTACAATTAATTAAATCTGTAAATTGCCTACGATACGATTACTTCTCGAGTCATAACAGTGTTCACCAATACAAATGTTTGTTTCGTTTGTACGCCTAAAAATGAATAAGATTTAGTTATAGCAATCATTTTAAATAGACGTCACAAACCAGTTTATGAATCCGATAAAACTGCTGTTAAATTATTGTATAAAACAATGTTGCTTGTGTTGTGGACCGGACTTATTTTCAACTCTATTTTGATAACAACTACAGGTAAATCAAATAATCCTACGATTCAAGTTTCACATCATAAAATTTGGCTCACAGCCGGTACCTACCAACCGGGCGATGTGGAAATCATTGGGGGAGGCCTATGTTCAGCAGTGGACGTCCTGTGGCTGAAATAATGATATTTAACGATGAATTTATGAGTCAAATTAATACTTAATTTTCAGTTGCTCAAAACAACATAAAAGTAAAAATCCCCATTTTTACAACTTCAAAAACAGATTCCAGAATTCCTTTCGCTCAACAACTAAGAGACACTAGGAAAAAACTACGAAACCAAAGACGTGCTTTGCCAGAAATAAACATAGATAGCTGGGGCTACGAGGATATATCTGAACCAATCCAAAACTATAACTATAAAGAAATATGGTGGACTAATGATTACAGAGATATCACCCATAAAAGTGCAAAGATAACTTTGGGAATCCATAAAGATTTGAGAGCCAATACTCCTCTAAAGAAGGCTGCATCAAGTCTTAAAAAGGCAAAAAGAACAAATAAATATAAAGGCAATTTTAAAGTCTACATTAATCCATTATTTACAAATGCAACAAAAGGTTCTAATAATGTCACTAATACTAGTCCTATTAAAACACCAGCTACAACTAAACTTACGACTAAATACACAGTACCAACGAAAGCATTCATTGATAAAGACGAAAGTTTCATACTTCCAGTGATTCAGAAAGATAGCAATGGCCAGTTTTCAGTTTTGTCCAACCAAAATCAACTGATAGTAAAGAAATTCAACAACGATTCGAACTTTCGTGGCTCCATAGCTGATAACATACGAATAAACAAAGACTTTGATATAGGGGATTTCGATTACGTCATACAAGATGTGAAGGGCAATAATATTGGACGTCAGAATGACGAGAACAAACCAATATTAATTGATATAGTAAAAACTAACAATATTGCTGAAGACCTCAAACAACTAGCGCCCGATACGAAAATAATAGTAAGTCCAGATCAAAGCAAAATATTTCCAAACATAGTCAAGGATGGTATCTATCGGATTGAGATACCTGATGCAGTTACAACAACGCCAAATAATATAGTACCTTCATCACCAAATGTCGGAAACTACAGACCTTTTCCGCAAAATCCTAGCCCACCTGAATATAATCAACCTTCAAACCAGGGTCCTTTCAATCCACAATATTTCGGCCCAAAAAGACCGGGTCCTTATAGGAACCTTCAAAATGCAGGACTGCATCAAGGTTTTTATAACCAGCCAAATTCAGGGCCTTATCAACAAAGACCAAACAATTACAATCAGTACAATCCGGGCCCATTAAGACAAGCTCCTTTTAACCAATATGGTGGAAACCGGAGACCTGGTCCTTATAACCCACAAGGGCCTTATCGACAAAGACCATACAACCCAGGCAGGTATTCTCAACCCCTTTTCGACCCACGAAATATGGGTCAATACGGTCCAAAAAGCCAACAACCAAATCAAGGCCCATACAGCCCTTACTACAACCCTCAAAATACGTACCCCAATAAGCAATGGCCTAAGCCTGGACCACAGCCCGACCAAATAAGGCAAAGGCCTGAGGAAACCCCACAACCAAACACAGATCCACCAACTCTTCAGATGCCAGATAAAAATTCAAACCCAGTCATAACAGAAACTCAAAAAAATGAACACGCCAGACAAGGCCCAGACCCTGCTGAGGATGATGATAATGTGCCTGTGGTTGATAAACCTATGGTGGAAATACAAGCACCACACGAAGACACAGTGCCTCCAGGATTACAAAATCTAATTCTGGGCGTTCCAGCCCGAACTGCGTATATCCCGACAACTACAGAAGCTCTGACAAGAAGGACATTCGAACCTGGAAGAGGACCTATGAAGGAGAACATACCAGTTTTTTTCGATGGGCCTAATATTGGTCAGTATTTTATTAATTACTAGCTTTTGCCCGCGGCTTCACCCGCGTGAAATTTACTTTGTCACAGATCGTCATAAATTAAAGCCTGTATATGTTATTCTGGGTTATAAAGAATAATATTGTAAAGTTTCATCAAAATTCGTTCAGTAGTTTTTGCGTGAAAGAGTAACAAACATACATCCAGACATCCAAAGTTTCGCATTTATAATATTAGTAGGACTAAGGCCCAGAACAGACGGTGAAACGCAACTGCAAAAAAACTGCAACTGCTAGTTACTTTTGAGTAGCATCTAAGTTTCTGCGTCCGTTGAGAGACCACACATGACGCGACCAGTTTGAAACTTTCAGTTTCAGTTTCATTCATCAGAATCTTCAGATAGTCGCAGTTTCGTTGCAGTTGCGTTTCACCGTCTGTTCTGGGCCTAACTGTGCGCGGCGACATCGTACGAGTGTTTGAGATGTGTCATTGAATTTTAAGGTCATAGCACACTAAAAGTATCAACCCGGAAAGGGATCAACACCGTATCGCCTTTCGCCGCGCTACCAACCGCGAGGCGAGGCGTTTACGTTACGGTACGAGTATGGAGTTTCATACAAAGAATACTGACCGCCTTGAGTTGATACGGTTACGATCTGTTTCTGGGTTGATAACGCCCGTATTTACAAACGATGCTTGATTAAGTGAAGCAGCAAATCGAACGCACAGCGTGGAATAGAGCTCTGTGATTGGATTGGTTCATGTGTCACCCTGTGCGTCCACGCGCACAGTGAGACCGCATTGTATTTTTGTGAATTCGGACGTTTTCGTTCTTTAGTTTTACCTAAATTTTTTCAGGACGGCTCAGTCCATACCTGAAGCAGTTGATAGCGGACATGAAAGGCCTGAAGATGGGTTTCTTCTCGATGTTCCTGATCAACCTATTCGAGGTGGTGAACAGGATGGATGACGAGGACCTGACCGCCTTGAAGTGGGAGGCGCAGAACGAGGCAGTGAGATTGTGAGTCAAGTCTTTGTTGTAAAGGTCGGATCACAGTTGCTTACGAGAGAATATACTTCGCGCAAATGCAGTCCTACCTTAGGCAAAAATCAGTCAAAAGTGATATTGACCAAGAGCATTGCCGATCCCACTTGTTACTAGCGTTCTTTTAAAAGAACGCTAGTTTTTACATAAATATTTTTACTAATGTGGGTAGTGTAAACAATTTTTATGTGCAACATTTGAAAGATGAGGTGTGTCGCAGTACTGTCCAAGTCTTATAAGTACACTGACGTAAATAACTATAAAGTTTTGGAGCGATTGTTTTGAGATACCTACAGTAGAATCCCGATTATCCGGATCAATTAAAACCAGGGGTGGTCCGGATAATCGAAAATCCGGATAATCAATTTCAAAGTAAAATGAATCAATAATCAACTTTTAACAATAGAAAGGGTTTTCAATACATCATTTTAGAGTCTAAAAATCTAAATTTTAGACCATTGGTCATCCATTTCTTTTAACAATGAACCAAAAAGACGTCCGTATCATGTTACGGTGGCGGCGCCTTCGGTTTTTATGGGTCCAGATCCTGAATCGGTAATTAGAAACCATGAAGAATGAGTCCGGATAATCGGATATCCGGATAATCGAAGTCCGGATAATCGAGATTCTACTGTAAATTTATCATGACTGATTTAAGCTAAGTGATAGAAAAAGTGAATTCCGTAACAAGTGGGTTAAGAGTTTTTTTTACTGTAACTTCAACTACTGCGTGAGACTTTGGGCAAAGACGTAACCTTAAATACATTAAATCTTGGTACTATCCTTGAGTTTTCCATACCTTCTCTTTAGTGAACAAACTACCGCCTCTGTGTAAAACCGTCTCGTAGTAAACCACCTGTATCAGATCCAAAGGTTCTTGGTTCGATTCCTAGTGGCTAGTGGGGACTACATTTTCTGAGATTTCGTGATTAATCAGTGAGTGGTATTTCGCTTTTTTGCAGGTTTGAAGTAGAGCATCTTTTGATAACCTTCGGCGAGCCTTTCGTATCAAGTATGGAGAGTTTAGCCAATCATTTGTCTATTTTTGCCAAAGACGTCATAAAGAGTAAGTAAAAATATTTAAATTAATGAAATGAAGCTTTAAAACATGAACAAGAGTGAGTCATCTGAAATAACGTGTAAAATAACGAAACGGAGTGATTTCGGAATAACTTGTCATGTCAGTACCTTTGTCTAGGGTCTAGGCCCTTGGAAGCAAATGAAGGATTTGGCCTAAACTCCTCACGGGCCAGACGGGTTGAGCATGAGAATCCAATGGCCTTTTGGACTATGTAATTGTCCTTTTCACAAGAGAAAGTTGAAACTGACAGCCCACAGATTAGCCAGCTAAAGTGGCAATGGGCAGGGCAAGTAGTACGCAGAACTGACGGTCAATGGTGCAGCAAGCTTCTGGAGTGGAGGCCACGTACCGGAAAAGGCAGCGTGTGACGGACGACTATACAGTGTGTCCGGGCTTGTAGTGATCAAACTTTAATGGCGTAATCTAAGGACAA